CTTCCTGTGGCACCTGCACACCCACCCCCATCAGCTGCCCATGATGTTCTGTGGGAGGAGGAGCTTCTGTCCTGCACCAACCTGTCCTTTTCCCAAACCCTTTCAGAGAAAATGAGCATAACTTAACAGTGTGAAATTAATATTTTGAAATGGGGACATGGGTTGGGTAGAGGTTAATTTTGTCCTGTGGTATGTTACTGTTTGGTGGGTTGGGGAGAGCAGTCAGGGATGTCCAGATTGCTGTCCATGCCCAGGAATCATGCAGGGACTTTGCAGCTGATCTGCCCAAAGATGTCACCTGGACAGTATTTTTGCAGCTCTAAAGGATTATACAGTTGTACAGTGGGATTTTTCAGAGGGGATGAAAAATATTTAGGATCCAAAAACAGCTTGCTTGCTTGATGGGATGCAGGTTCCAGTCAGAGAGCTTTTGATTTCTAGCTCTGCCTGGCACTGCTTTATTGGATAACCTTGGGCCAGGTTGGCTTCCTCTTCTAGCCCTCAGATTCCTCAAATTGTAAAACAAAGGGGTACTGTTGCTCTTTTTCTTCCACATTTTGTTTTTCAGTTGTTTTTGCTTTAGGCGGGAAAAAAGTACTGTCTTGTATTAAAAAGTAATGATTACAAGTAAAATTGACTCATAATACTGTGTAAGACATTGCATTTTCTGAAAAGCTGAGGTCTCAATGTATGAAACGGAGAGCTGCGAGTATCACTGTCCCTACTTGACCTGCTGGAAACTGAGAGCAGCTGCAGTGAATTCTCCAGAGTCACCCAGGGTGTCCTCAGCTGGTGGTTGGACTGAAGTTACTGCAGCCTTTCCCTTGGTGCAGAGCAGTCCTTACCCCTTCCCACTGTTCATGCCTTGCAGGAAGAAGTTCCCAAGGTCCATTTGCCTGACACAATCCCAGACCCCTGCCATGTGTGTCGGTGACTGTGTGCAGCTCCCGGTCTGCCTGGGCATTCCCGCAGCCTTCCCATCCATCCCTGCCTGGGATGTGTGGTGCGGGATGCAGCCCCAGAGCTGAGGCACAGGCTGGTTCCTATTTGGGAGCCTCGTAAATTACAGGCAGTGTGGCAGTAACAAGGGCTGCTTGGCTGGCCCTTGTTAAGCAGGAGGGGGCTTGGGGCTGTGAGCTGCATTTCCTCAGTAAAACCTTCCGTTTCTAATCAGCAAACACCTCTCCTTCAACCTGGGCTTAATTCAAATCCCTTTTTCCTTTTGAGATTTGTCATCCCCCCATGCAGGTGTGGGCCTTTCTTCCCTTTTATATCTTCACCTCTGGTTTTTCTTTCTTGCTCCGCTGCCTTTGCAGTGCCCTGCATCACCATGGCACAGCTGGGGCTGCAGACAGGGGCCTCACTGGGCTTAGGTGTGTGGTGGGAAGCCGAGCTGACAGATTTTACACCCCCACCACCCCTCCTTAACTGATTAAGCTCTCATTAATTTTGTTCTCTTAATGGCCCCTCTTTTGATTTATTGGGCTGTCTGACAGGGACTTAGAGCTCCACCGACAGGAAATTGTTATTTTAACCTGTCAGGAAAGAATTTTAAAAAAATAAACAATTTTTTCTTTTTTTTTGTTTGTTTTCCCTCCCTCTCGAACCTCTTTAAATTACTTTAACTCTTTCTTTTCCCAGATAGCAATTAAGCAGGATCTGTCAAGGGCGGTGTTATTGGTTGCTACAGAAGTGCTGGCAACCAGGAGCACCTCACAAAGTACCTGCCTTGGGGAGAGGAGGCAGCAGAGCAGGATTCTGTCATGCAGCAGCCCTGCAGCTCCTGGTACAGCCCCTACCTGGGACCACCACCAGTCAGCTGGGATGCCTGGGGTCTCCTCCACTCTCCACCTTTGCCTTCTCTCCCACTGCAGTGCACTCTGGTGCTGCTGGCAGGACACGAGGCAGATCGAAAGCTGCCTGATTAATAAAGTTTCTTGCTTTTGCACTATTGCAGGCTGCTTAAGGACAGCATTTTCAAAAGAGGTCAGCTCCCATTTACACATCGAAATAAGTTGGTTGCCTATTCAGGAGAGCTCAGCATGTCAAGAACTGAATGCTTTTGAAAATCTGGCTTCAATTGTAAAAGCTGAGAATTTCAAAATCTGGCCTCAGATCCTCCTAATAGTTCTTTTGGAATTGATGTTTTCATTCATTTTCCTCATTATTTTTATGCTAGCCATTTACTTTTTGTACTTCACTCAGCTGTGAAAGAAACGGCCACATGTCCCTATTTAGAGCTCGTACTCTTGCCTGGAGGTTTGGGGAGGTACCATACATACACTTGTTGCAACACACCTTCTCTCCTCATTCTCTGCTCAATACTGTTCAATCTGCCCAGTGCTGTGGCCAAATTTTTTGAGCTCCCCTTTTTTTTCTCCCCCACCTATTGCTCTTCGTCTTTTCAGAGACCTGGGGGCAGCCAGTTCAGTCACTTCATCGATGTGCCTGGGTGGTCCTAGCTCACGAGGGGTCTCATGCACAGTTCTGTTCCTTTGGCTTTGCCCTTCTGGCCAGAGGCTCTGTGCAACGCAGAGCTGCAGGGAGGTCTGCTTGGGAACGTCTTTGCCTACCCCCTCCCTCAGCCTGGGCTCTAGGGAGCAATTCCTTCCCGTCCAACATTTTTCCATCTTGCTGCCAAACCCATCCAGATAGGGGGAATGAGTCAGCTTTGCTCCATAGGCTTCCAGTGCTGAGGAACCAGACAGTAAGTCCTACCCCAAAATGTTTCTTCTGCATCAGTGAAAGGCTTTCCATCTCCAGTAGACCTTAGGGTATGAGTTGTTTTTAAGCCTGAACTACCTCCAAGTCTCTTCCAGATGAGTGTAATTAGTGGGACCTTAACTTGTGCATCAGCAGTGGTGTCAACACTGCATGTTCTGGTATGGACAGACCCAGGGCACTTTTACAGCCATCATCAGTTGTGACTTCCTGTGGTGGCTGTGGCATAATGAAGGGTGCTTTGGTGGCTGTCTTACATGGAGAAATAAACTTGAGCAACTCAGATGGGTCTCCAAATCAATCACTAAAGTATCTTGTGGTTGACTTGGAGCTGTCAAGTCACTATGCACAGGTTGGTGGGGGAAATTTTGAGACTCTTCTCAGGCGAGGAGAGTGAACACCGAGAAGGATGAGGTGTGTGGGAGGGAAGTTGCTGTCTTGTCTGTTTGGCACTTTAGGTTACCCACAGGGATTTCCACATGTAACAGGGCTGTGGCCTGCAGTATCTGAGTATGGCCTAGCTGTTCTCTCTGGATGCCTTCAGGATATGCCAAATGTCTGAGCTCTGTCCATGCTCCTGGATGCCTGAAAGCCACATTGGGCCATGCCAAGCTTGACTTAATTTAGCCTGCTTCTCAGCAGGGTTTGTCATCTTGGACTCACAGCCACTCTACCCATGACTGTATAACTCCTGTAAAGAGCTCTAGTCATGTAGAGCCTGCTGGGCTGGCCAGTGCACTGGACTCATACTGGCCTGGAAAGGGCCATATAAAGATGTTCTTTGTGGCCTTTCCAAAACTCCAGCAGCATGTCACTTTACTTGGTGTTTCTTCCTTTTGAAATCACCAGCTCAGAGGAGGCTTTCCTCTTCTGTAAAGGCCGATTTACAGAGAGGCCTGCAAACCAGCCTGCTGTATTCTTGCTGTTACAATGTGGACCTCACAATGACTTGCCATGGACATTGCCCTGTGCTGCACTTCTGCACCTTTGCTGTCACCAAAAGCCAAGCAAAGCTATCATTTGAGAGTAGCTTGGTGATATTTCCTCAGATGCTGTGCATTCCTTGCTAGCAGTAATCAGCCTTGCCTTGAACAACTCAAGCATTTCAGGAAGTATGTGTCAGTCCTTACTTCAGGAATTAGGATGTTTAATTTTGGGAGTTGTGCTTGAAGGGACTTGTGCCCTCTTTTTGACTGAGATGGATACAAAGAGCACATGCTCAAGCAGGTAATGGCTCAAGCAGTGACTATGGTGGAAGTAGGAAATACCACCCTGCAGAGTCAGGTGCTCCTGGGGATGGTGATGTTGGCTAATGAGCTGTTTGCTGCAGGGGGAGCAGGCAGTATAACTGCTGTTTGGGCTGGCTGCCAGGGCTGCTTTGGGTTTGGTCTTGGGCTTCTTCCCTGTAGACAGGCCACAGGAGCAATTCTGCAGTGCCTTAAGGGTTGCAGATTGTCTTGGTGCTGCAGCTGAAGGGAGCTCAAAATCCTATAGCTGCATTATGATGCCAGTAGAGGGAAATCTCCTCTTGACTTCAGCCTGTTGCCTTGATTAGAGATGAACTCAGTCTGATGTCTGAGGTGTCTCTTGGGGCAGCTACTGAGGTCTTTAATCCCCCCAACCTGGCTTGTCTGCTTTAGTGTTCATTCGTGACTCTCCAAAGCAGCTGCTGCAGTGTGCAGCTCTTCACAGCAACCTGGGTTGTGACAGGTGGCCTTACATTTCTAGTTTTTTGGAGCTAGTTGATGCTTTCAAGTACAAACACGGTGGTTTGTGTAGACTTAAAACAGGAGGTGTGTTTCAGGCAGAACAGTTAATCAGATGTATTTTCATAGGTTGAGTCCCTTAGTTAGAATGGACTTGTACTGCTCATTTACTGTAGTGTTCAAAATAGAATATGTTCCATACATAGCCAAGAAGTGGCAGCAACAGTCACTGGATATCTTCAGTGACACTTTGTTGGAAATATTAGTGTTTTGCTCTTGAAAATTGCCTGGTGTGCATCACTGTCATTCACTGTGCCAGGTATGAAATGGGGAAGGGGAGTGTGTGTCTGTGTGTGCATGTGTACTGGGGATGGGATGTCTTGGAAGACTCCCAACCGTGCCTGGGGGAGAGGCTGGAGAAGAGAAATGCTGGCATCAGTGTTTGTAGTGTCCTCGGGCCACTGGCTTGGTGAATCTGTGGCAGTTTAGGGATGTTGGTAGAGAAGCCAGGCAGGGCTGGAAAGCAGAGGGAAGCCTGAGAGTTTCATTCATCATGTCTCTTGTCATCCACAGGAATCCACTGCACACAAATCCACTGCATCATCTGAGGCAGCTTATGGGACCCTTCCCCGGGCGCCCCAGGTCACACCACATGGGATGGCAATGACACGTGGACGGAAGAGGCCCATGTCCCCCATCCCTTGCCTCGTGCTTGCAGCCGCCAGCTGTTTTGCCAAATTGAGTGAGTGTCTTTTCTTACCCATTATGGTTTGCCTTGGTGCTGTTTAGCATAGGCATGCCTCGTGGACGAAGAGGTTTTCCTCTCTCTGCTGTTCCTGAGTAGCCTTGAGTCTGGGTTCAAACCCTCTTCCAGAGGAGGATACATTTGGAGTCGAACATTTCTCTCAGGTGGTGCCAGGAAGAAATGGGACTGGGATTCATCTCTAAAAATTAGGGTGGGTGTGTGAGGAGTCAAGGAGATGGTGCAACACAAGGAGAAGCCATTGGAAATGTAAAATGTACAGCACTGCAGCTTTTTCCTCTGTCCATTCTATTGCTGGGTCTCACAGAGCTTTCTAATTCCCATTTTTTTCCCTCTGTGCAGGTGAATCTCTGCAGGTCACAGTGCAGCCTGCTTCTATTGTTCAAAAACTTGGAGGCCCAGTCAGCCTAGGGTGTGTGGTGGACCCCCCCCGAGTGAACCTCACCTGGAGACTGAACGGGAAGGAGCTGGCTAGATCAGACGAGGTGCTGGGTATCCACGTGGAGCGAGGGAAGCTCATCATCACGGCTCTCAATAACCGCACCGTGGGGCGCTACCAGTGCATCGCTCGTGTGCCTGAAGGAGTCATTGCCAGTGTCCCTGCAGTCGTCACCTTAGCTAGTGAGTAGCTTTAGTTCTCTGACTGCCCCTGCTTTGCTTGGGCCATCACTCACATATCTTGAGAGGCTCATCCATTCTTGCTTCCTCGTACTGGCATCAAGGGATGACTCCTTTGGTGTAGGCCCTTTCATAGCATTTTTGATTGTGGACTGGCTGACCTGGTGTGGCCCAGTCTGACCCAGACTTTCCTCCTCTTGTGTGGTAGGCTGCAGATCTGTCCTTCAGGGAAAAGTTTTTGCAAGACCAGGGAATACCTAAGCTGTGGGGTTTGTGTGCATGGTTGATTTTCTGACAGTCAGGCTGCCTCTTCTGGTTTCTGACTTACTGATGGAGTTTTTGAATAGTACCTGCTGGTGCTGATGGCCCAACTGCTGCTGGGGCTGCTGCAGGACTGCTGCCAGCACAGGGTCAGTGTGTGCTAAGTGTTACTGCCTTCCTGAGACACAGCTCTAAGCAAGGGACTTTACTCCTATCCCTGAGCTTACACACTCCTCACTGCTGTCCTCTGGCACTGGGAGATGTGTGCATGGCCAGAGATGTCTTAGGTGGGCAATTTTTCCTACAAGCATCTAGTTTTGGCCAGATGTTGTGTGTATTTGGCCAGAAGGGATTGTATCTGGATGCATGTGAGAAAGAGCAGTGGAGAGCCCCACCTTCTCAGAAATGCGCACAGTGTTTGGTGGAGCAAGTGTGTGCAGAGGAGGCTGCCATTGCCTTGCAGTGACTGTCCCTAAGCATAGAAAGGGCTTCATCTTTCCCAGCAAAAGGGAGTTTGGGGCTAAGTCTTAAGAAAATGAAGACGTGAAGATGTTTGTGCAAAGTGGGGCCTGGCTTTGCTTTAAAGCCAAGAACTATTGGCTTGTCAATGATACATTAATCAGGAGTGAAATGTTTAGGCCAGGCTGGGTGGGAGGAGGAGGAGGCCTGGGAAAGCAAGGAGAGAGTTGCTGAACTCTGAGGCAGAGTGGGAGGGGGTTGTCACGGGGCCGAATCTGTTGGGGGATTTGGCCTGAGCCCCGTGCTGAGATTAAGTTTCAGAGAACACATTCCAGAGCAGAAAGGGGGCTGTGTGTGCTGGTGGCCTGATAGAGGGGAGGAGAGGAGGGGAGAGGTGGATGGGATTACCAAGAGCATGGTTTGAATTTAGGAGAGAAGGGTATGCACAGCTCCTCAGCCTGATCAGCTCCTGCTTAGCTGATTCCCTTTTTCTTTTTTTACTCGTCCCCCAGCCCACTACTACCAGCTCTGTCTCCTGGGAAAAGTATCTCTGACTAATCTGACTGCTTTAGTGGTGGATTAGGGCGTTCTGGTCCTCAGACACCAGAAGGCCCTACCATGTCCTTCAGGACAAATCAAAGCCTCTGAGTAGTGCATTAGCCCTCTCCAGGAGCCAAATCACCCTTGCCTACTGGATTGCAAATGGGGATGTGCGTGCAAAAGAAAAGGACTTGACCATAGTTGTGGTTCCTGTCATGGCAAATGCACTTCTGAGAGGAAGTCAGGAGCACCACTCAGTGGAGCTCACAAAACTGGAGACAGAGGTTGGATGATCAAGCAGCTAATCCATTGTGGAAACACTGTGCTGTGTTGTCCTGTGCTGTGTTGTGCTGCACAGGTCCCTCATCCTCAGAGGTAGCTGGGGATGGCAGAGGCTGTGTCCCACACACCTGGATAGCTTCGGTGATAGAGGGTACTCAGGTGGGGAAAATCTAGCAGTCAGTGAGTGAAGAGAGTGATAGGGCATTCCAGTGAAGGTGTGGGACTGAAGGTGTAAGAGGAGAACGTTCTGGAGGAGTTCAAATAACCGGACTCATGTTCGTGATCTGGAGGCTGCTTGCAGCAGTGGTGTTGCAGTGGTCTGAAAGAACGGGGAGCACCACTTGGTGGTGGGACTGAGTTTGAAAGCTGTGGTAGCAGGTGTGCCCTCGGCTCTCCTGCTTCAGACCTCCTCTACAGGACTTTGCTCAGAGCTGATTCATTGGCGACCATGGTGAGAGGAAAGCCCCTGGCAGGTCAGCTTGCAGTTGATACATCTCCTCCAGATAACCTTCAGGCCTGAAAGAAAACCCTCTGAAAGTCTTCATTCCATCCAAAAATTATTTTGGGGTGGCAGGGGGAAAGTGAAACTGGAATGTGTGAATGAAAGCAGTGCAGGGAAGGAGGGCAATGGAATTATTTTCAAGGCTTAGGTTTATTTTGGAAGAGGACCTGGAGTCATTGGAAGAAGTGACTTGCTAGGTTTTGAGAAGTGTGGGTAAAATAGTCTGGCCAAATTGTAGGCTATTTCCCCTTCTTTCTTTGGGTCTTCTTTGAAGGAAGCACTCTGGAATGCCCCAGGCTCTGTGTGTCCCAGGGGGTCTGCTGTGCTTTGCTGACAGTCAGCAAGCAGATAAGCATAGTTGCAGTGCTGGCAGCCAGGCATAGCCCTGGGACTCACACCTCCTTCTCTCATCTGCAGCACAGATGAATGATGCCGAGGCCATCTCTCTTCCCCCTGGTTCAGGGAGCTGGTTGAAACTTGCATTTAATTTATCCAGCAGAGATAAAATAGCTGTTGTATATCCAAGAGGTGGAGGGAGGAGGGATTTGCAGATGGGAAAGATTTCATTAAGTGATAAAGGGAGCAGCACTTCAGGCACCTTTGAGTCCAATTAGAGCTGAGCTGGTGCCCCATAGAACCTTGGCAGCCCATGGCATATCAGTGCAGGTCACTGCAGGTCACTCCTGCTGATCACTGCTGGCCTGACCGTGGTGCACAAGATTAGCCCTGCAAGGCTCCAGGGCAGCACTGCAGTCTGGGACAGCTTGTACTGATAAAACAAGAGTATTCCTGGTTTTCCAAGCCAGGCTTTAAGCCTTCATATGAATGACAGCTTCAAAGAAGAAAGAAATGTTTTCTGTGCTTGATTCTAGGTAATAAAGTTGCCATCCTGCCAGAAAGCCCTGCCCCAGTCCCTCTACTGGGTAGAGGTGCTATATGTAAAAGCACAGCTGCGGTAGGCTCTGGTGGGGCCGAGTGATTCCACCAGGACTTGTACATGGTGCTGAGGACTGGTTCTGTAACAGCCAGAGGAAGGTCAGGAGCTCTTCGTGGAGCTCACAGGGGCAACTGAAGTGCAGGGCTGAAGCAAGGCTGATGAGCAGAGGTAGCGAGAGCTGATACTCTCCCCTGATACTCCCCAGAGGCAATGGCAAGAGGGAGGGAGGGAAGGAAGGGGATGGCTGCCTGTTGGAAAAGCATACGCAGAGCAATCACGGGGCCTCTGGCCCTGGGGGCGGTGTGAGGAGGGGAGATAAGGAAAACACAAGTGGTGTTTTGTGAGCCAGCAGAGCTGTGGCATGAAGACTGTGAGATGGGCCCAGGGTGGGGGAGATGTGTAACTCCCAGCACTCATCTGTATGCATAGAAAATCTGGGCATCAAACACAGCAGCAAGCCTGACCTGGATAGACATGATATTTGAACACAAAACAGAAAAATAGATGAGGAGTGCAGCAAAAAACCTCCACCCATTCCAGTGTCCCTGTGGCCAAGGGTGTGGGATTGCAGGTACCTGTGTCCTGGGAATGCAGTGGGCAAGAGTGGCTTGTTGCCCTGTTCCCTCCATCAGTGCCACGGGTGAGGTCAGCCTTGTGGCAGCACCTGTGGGAAGCTGGGCCTCAGCATGTGGAGCTTGTGGGCAGTGACCAGTGCAAGGGGTCGGGCTGGGCATCCCCCAGGAATTTGCAGCTGCTTCTGAGGCAGCCCCATTCATTTTCCTTCACCAGGGCCTCTCCCCTGATACTCCCCAGAGGCAATGGCAAGAGGGAGGGAGGGAAGGAAGGGGATGGCTGCCTGTTGGAAAAGCATACGCAGAGCAATCACGGGGCCTCTGGCCCTGGGGGCGGTGTGAGGAGGGGAGATAAGGAAAACACAAGTGGTGTTTTGTGAGCCAGCAGAGCTGTGGCATGAAGACTGTGAGATGGGCCCAGGGTGGGGGAGATGTGCTGGGGGGGTGTGAGTAGGCAGGAGTCTGTGGGGCTGTGCCTGTCTCAGCAGGGTTGGAGGAATCTTGTGGTGACAGCACCAGTACTCAGGCTCCTGTGGCACTGGCTGGATGAGGAGTGAGAGCCATAGTCCTAGGCTGCTCTCACAGCTGAGGGGGGAACAGTGGAAGGTGCCTGCCCCCAGGTTGGAGGACCCTATTCCTCCTGCCTATTCCCCTTCCCTCCCTTTCCTCTTGCACTCTTCCCTATGGCAGGGAGAACTTTCGGGGTCATAATTTCATTTGCTTCTTCTCCAGAGTTATTTATGGTCTCCCATTCATTTAATCGGCTCTGTCTCGCCTGCCTTGTTGCTTGGCCCCCAGCCCTGGGACTTAGCTGGTTTCCCTCCCCAGTGACAGCAGCACAGTTGGCTGCAGGGCTGCACCCTGGTTCACCCCATTGCGCCTCGAAGCCAGCTGCAGATGGACAGAAGTAACGGCCTTTGGTTGCACTCCCTCTTAAAGAAAAAAAAGGAGAAAAAAAAGCCCTCTTGTCCCAGCACGGCTGGGATTGGCAGTGCTCTGTCTGTCTGTCCGCAGCACCTCCCGGACAATGGCTGGTAGATGAGGACTTGCTTCACTGTGGTCAGGCGTGTCTTTTAAGGACACGAACATGGGTTGGCACGCTGGGTGCTGCCATATGAGAAGGAAAACCCAGCCAGTGAGAGGGGATGTGGTTTCTCCCAGCTGCAGTGGTTGTTAGACTCTGGTGCAAATTGCATGTTAGATGTGGGGCCTGGCTGCACAGCTGAAGGGGCAAGTGCTGCATATCCCCGTGGCATCGATCCTGTCCTCCAGCCCTCCCTGCTGGGCAGGACATGCATGGTCCCGCCACAACTCAGGGGCAGCTTGTTTGAACCCCCCAGAACGAAGCTGGTTGTCCCAGCTTGGCACTGTGCCCTCTGTTTTGCTGTGCTGGAGCCAAATGCAACAGGATGTGTGTGGAGGAGCTTGTCTCATGCACAGAGGATGACAGGGGTGACCCTCACCACCCCTCCCCAGCTCTGGCTGACCCGTCGGCCCCAAAGGATGGCTCTACATGCCCATACCAGTGGTGAGCAGGGCAGTTGAAATCGCCCATGGCCAAAATCCACTGGCAAATCAGTCTTGTTCTCTGTGGGGAAGCAGGAATTTAGGAGAATAGTTTGGCAGAAAGCTGGTACACTCAGCGTATGAGAAAGTAGTTTGTCCCAGTTTTCCTATTTTTCCCCTCTTCCCCTGCCAGTTTCCATCTGCTTCTCCAGAGGCACCTGGTTCTTGCTCTCCCAGCCACCCCAGGATCCCTTCTTTCCTGTTCTTTCCTCTTTGTCCACAGTTTCACCCCTTGTCCCTCACTTCTGGGCTGAGGGGAAGCCAGGAAGAGTTGCAGCTCCCTACTGTGGGGCTGCACCACTCACAGCTGTGAGATGTGGGCTAAGCCACCATCTGGGGGGCTGCCTGTGAGAGGCCCCCATGTCTGCCCAGCCCACAGTCATTTCTGGGGGTGCCCTGGCACAGGGTCATCATTTTCCATCTTCAAGATGGCTCTGCTATGCCAGGACCTTGGGTCTGCTCTTTTTCCAGGCTCTTGGGCCCCTTCTTCTCTTCAGGGTGTGTGTGCATGTACACGTGCTCATGTAAGTGTGTGTGTGTGTGTGTGCAGATCCCTGCCAGCATTGCTGGAGCCTGTGCCTTGGCTCCAAAATCTTAATTTGGCTGTGATGAATCCAGACCACCAAGGCACACATTAATTTTCCTGATGCTCGTTTATATTTTGTTGATCAACGAAACATGCACAATGTAGGCAGGCAGACCCTGGGCTTTCGCCACTTCTCCACCTCTTTCCATTTCTGTGGCTCTCACTATTTTATTCCTTGATCAAATATAAAAAGCAAAGAGGAGAAAATATCCATCATCGTTCTCTGCCCCAGCAGTAACTTTGGTTGGAGGAGGAGCATGAGGCACTGCCAGCTTTTCTCAAGTTAGGAGTTAACTTTCATCTGGCTTTAATATCCAGTGGAAACATGGCTCCCCTCCTCAGCTTGTCTTAAAGGATTAATCACATTTCTGAAGTTCACCCATATTCCTTTTTTTTATTATTTTTTTAAATTGAACAATGCCAAGAAATTCCAGAAGTATTAAGCATGTTCATTGCAAATCATTTTTATGACATTGCAAAACCTCCCCTTTTCAACCTCCTCCCCTTCCCTCAGATCTGGGCCTGGGACTGCTGGCTCCCCCAGCAGCCACCCGACAGCCCCTCCGCACTGCACTCGGGGAGGCTTTCTCAATGCCTTGCCAAGAGAGCTGGTTTGTATTTAAACTCCATAAAGGATCTTGCTTTAATCAGAAAGTCTGCTTGAGAAATTTCATGTCACTTTTCCATGACTGTGGGTGGGAGAAGCTTGGAGCCAGAGCTGTCTTTTGCTCTTGGAGCACTGCTGCATTTCCCAGAGAACAAGCCCCACGTTTTTCTGCTGGCTGGGGCTGTCAAAGGAGGCTGCCTGGCGCCCACCCGCCACCAGCCCTCCTGCTGCCTCCCAGCCCCCACACTGCCCAAGGTCATGGGTGCCATGTCCTGGGATGGGTTTCTAGGGGTGAGGGAGCTGTCAACAGCACATGGCCGTGCCATGGCTGCAGATGCAGCATGCTGCCTTAAAGTAGGGTTTTGCAAAGAAAGTGTGGTCTGATCCAGAATTAGTGGCATGCCATTCAGGAGATCTACTAGCCCTGGATCCTGGGAAGAGGCACCACCTGAGCCTTGATGTGACTGTGTGATCTGTCATCTGTGACAACAACCAACTGTGGGATGTGCTGTTTTCACTAGTGGTTGCCTGAGCTGGTATATAGTATTGTAAAAATGTACATGAGGGATTTTTTCCCTGGCCCAAAACCTCCTCCCTCACAGCACAGGCTCTGAGACAAACTTCAAGCTTGCAGTGCCTCAGCAAGATTTGCCATCACACCCAGAGAGAATGGAAACAAGTTTTCTCTCTGGAAAGTTTGGTGGGGCCAGGTTGGCATGCTCCCTGCCCTTCCAGACCTGTGGGATTTCGCTGCAGTCCTCTCCTCCTGCTTTATAAAAACAGGGAAAAGAAAACAAAAAGTCAGGTACCCTTCTTCTTAGTTCCTGTGCTTCCAGTCCTGCTGCCCACATCGGCCCAGCCAGGGTGGGAACTCCCATCACAGCATGGGCAGAGGGACGTGGTGGGACAGGGTTTTCACAGCTGCTTTAGGGAAGGAGCAGCTGTGCCGTGTAGAGGAGGAGCTGGTTTTCCTTGCAAGTCCCTGTTCTTTTAACTGGAGCTTGGGCACATGTGAAGCGTCATGGTTAACCAACTTCCAGCTGTGATGGGAGCAAGAGTGCCTGGAGCAGAGACGCTGATTTCTCAGGTGTGGGAGGAGCTCAGGGGGCATGACACACTTCCTCCCGCCTGGCATCTGTACACCCTTAAAGCGGGATGGGCTCCCTGAGTTGTGACTGCAAAGTCAGCTTCTCAGTAGCAGGACAGCAGCCATGTGTGAAATAGCAAGCAGCAGAAGGACCATTTTTGGCCGCCTTTCAGTGCTGCAGTAAGTTGGCTTATTTTTTACTCTCAGGCCAGGATTTTTCACACCCAGTTTCCCAGCCCTGGAGCAGGCAGTTTCTCCAGAAGCTGTGTTTTAAGTTACTCATTTTGTAGGGCAAAGGAGGCGGGGGGAAAATCAATCGTGAAAGCAAGCCAGTTTCCCTAGCTGCTGGGGTCAGAGCGGTCCTCTGCTGGAGCCACAAGGAAACAGCCCCAAGTTCATGGGGACAGGATGAGCTGCCACTAAGATATGTAGCCAGCCACTTAGATGCCTTGTCTTCTGCTCTCTTTGCAGATCTCAAAGATTTCAAGTTCGACGGCCAGCATGTGATCGAGGTGGATGAAGGGAACACAGCTGTGATTGCCTGCGACCTGCCTGAAAGTCACCCCAAGGCTCAGGTCCGCTACAGTGTGAAGCAGGAGTGGCTGGAGGCCTCCAGAGGTGAGTGCACAGGGGTCTGTCCCAACAGGTTCTGCCACAGTACTGTCAGTTTCACCGTTGCTTACCAGCAGTAGCTATCTCTACCTGCTGCCTCCTTGTCTCTTTGCCACCTGTCTGAGCACAAGTTACCTCAGGTTCCCTGGCATGGACATCCCTGATGTCCATGCTGCCTGGGACATCATGGTTTTTTGTTTCCCCCTTGTCCACCTTTTCTTCAGGACACTGCATGTCTTCCAGGAGGCTGGACAGGAGAATATCTTGTGACCATGTGCTACTTTCTCTTCTCTCTTTACAGACAATTATCTTATCATGCCATCTGGAAACCTTCAGATAGTTAATGCCAGCCAGGAGGATGAGGGGACTTATAAATGTGCTGCCTACAACCCTGTGACACAGGAGGTGAAAACTTCAGTCTCCAGTGAGAGGCTCCGTGTGAGACGTAAGCCATTCTCCCTTCACTGCACATCTCCAGCTCTGGGGGCACTGATCAGTGCTGTCTGGTGCAGCTGGTTTTCTGTGTGAACCATTATCAGTTGCTGAGAAAACTCCTTTCCAGCAGCAGAAGGCCCCAAGGTCTGCTCCTGGAGTATGTGTATGCAGTCCTGGGATTGCCATGCTTCCTTAGGATTTGTTCTTGGTAGGTGGGTGGGCAAAGGCCCTTAGTCCTTCGGCAAGGTGGCTTTGCTGTGTGCACAGAACCCTTACAGAATGTCCTTCTGGTCCTGCATTACCATTTACCTGTCCCAGCACAGGAAAACAGTGTGCCCTACCATTATCCCTACTTAATCACTGCACAGGGTGCTCTCCCACCATCCACCTTCCTTCCCACACACCTCCTTCCTCCATCTCTCCCCCCAGGCTCCACTGCAGAAGCAGCCCGGATAATTTACCCTCCTGAGGCTCAGACCATCATTGTCACCAAGGGCCAGAGCCTTATTCTGGAGTGCGTGGCCAGCGGGATCCCCCCGCCACGTGTCACCTGGGCCAAGGATGGCTTTGGCGTCTCTGCATACAACAAGACGCGCTTCTTGCTCAGCAACCTCCTGATTGACCCCACGAGCGAGGAGGACTCGGGCACCTACAGCTGCATGGCTGACAATGGCGTTGGGGAGGCCGGGGCCGCGTTCATCTTCTACAATGTGCAGGTGTTTGGTGAGTGCTGCTGGAGCCATTGTTTCAGGAAGGGCTTGGACATCTCATCTTCTAGGGGAAGATACTAGCACTGAAGCAGTCTTCCTGTCCCTGGACAAGCCACAATGTAATGCAAACCCCTGCTTGTGGTTCCAGTTTCCAGACCAGACTAATTCTTTCTTGAAGGTAGTAGTTCCTCCTTGGCTAACCCCTTGGACTGGAGATGGTGGATCCTCTTTTCCTCTGCAGAAGCTCTTCTCCTGTCATTTGTGGCACTGCTTTTGTTCTAATACTTTCTAGTGGAAGCCTGATTGCTTTTTAGACATATTTGACATTGGCATAAGGAAGACACTGGAGTGTCTTGGTTATGTTTTGTTTTTTGTTCTGTTGTAGGTAAGCAGCTCTCTGTGGAGTAGAAAACGTAAGGGATACTACACCTTAGATATTTCTACCACACATACTTCCCATTCTCACAATTTTTAGGGAGATTAAGCCCTAAAATTCGTTTCACAGATTGCATTTCATCAGGTGCCAATGTGGCACAGGTGCAATGTTGTGGCACAAGCACAATCTTTGCAGACTATTATTTCAGCTCAGAAAAATGGGACTTGTAAGATGTCTGACGTCATGTGAGAGGGCAGATGGCCTTGGGCTACCTCCCTTTGCAGTTTATGTGGATGCTGAAGGAGAGGAGCATTGAAGCAGACCCTTGTAGGCCACCACAAAGGGAGTGGGGCTTTAGGGTAGGAAAGGATCCATTATTCTGCTCTCATCCCAGCCAGAGAGGAAAGTGCAAAGCCATGACCATGCCATGCTCCCAGCCAAGTGGTGCTCAACAGTCTGTGTTCGTTCCTCACACAGAACCCCCGGAGGTCACCATGGAGCTCTCCCAGCAGATCATTCCTTGGGGCCAGAGTGCCAAGTTCACGTGTAAGGTGCGAGGAAACCCGCAGCCCTCAGTGATGTGGCTGCGCAACGCAGTGCCGCTGTCGGGCAGCCACCGGCTGCGGCTGTCGCGCCGGGCGCTGCGGCTGCTCAGCGTGGGGCCTGAGGACGAGGGCATCTACCAGTGCATGGCCGAGAACGAGGTGGGCAGCGCCCAGGCCATGGTGCAGCTGAGGACAGCCAGCCCAGGTAAGCCACTCTCCCAAAGTCGTAGCCATTCAGTTACAGCCTAACAGACAGGACACGGACAGGGGAAGCAGGGGAAGAAAGTCAGGATGTTGCCCCTGCTTCCTATTTAACTTATGCTGCAAGTGCTGCTCTGCCTGAGGTCTCCATATCTCCCTGTGGGAATGCATGATACCAGTTTTGCTTCTAAGGGCAGGGCCATGTGTGCACATTTGGGTGATCTCTATACAAGAGACACAAGACATCTGGGTGTAGTGCCTCACCCCATGGCTTAGCTCTGCCTCTGAACTTGCACTAAGCAAGAGCTTAAAAACTGAATTCACCTGGGGTAGGAGAGGTACCACCTGATTCCTTGGACCCTGTTGAACTTACACAGTGTAAGAGGGTCTCCAGAGAGACTGGGGATCCTGTGGTTTACAGCAGGGGAAGGAGGGATTGTTGCCAATACCTTTTTGAGTGGTACAGCAGGCAGCACTTCACAAGGGGCTCACAGCTCCACCGTAACCACAGACTGGGATGAGCATTTACCCTACTGTGACACCTTGTCTTCCAGGAGCTCCACTCAACCCTGGGCAAGATGCCCAGCTGGACTTGGCTCAACCTCCAACACCACCTTCCAGGGACAGTGCCTTAAAGCTGCCCTTGGATAAAGCTGGACTGCCAAAGCCTGGGACAACCCCTCTAGCAGCATCTCCACAGTGTGCAGCCAACAAGGAGCTCGTGACTCCAGCTGAAGCCCCCATCATCCTCAGTTCTCCACGGACATCCAAGACAGACAGCTACGACCTCGTGTGGAGACCCCGGCCTGACAGCAGAGCCCCCATTCTCTATTACGTGGTGAAGCATCGCAAGGTATCACTGTTTTGCCCTGCTCCCATCTTCTCTCTGCACCATTTCATGGGTGGGCTGGCGGCCTCACCACGTGTTTCATGCTTCGTGGGCAGGGGCACCCATTGCTCACTGGTGGCAGTGGTTAGTGGGACCTACTGAGCTGCATCCTCAGCCTGTTGAGGTGTGACAGGAGACTTTGCTGAGCCATCCGGGAAGAGCCCAGTGGCAGTGCCTGCCTGCCTAAGTATGCAGAAGGCATATGCACATACTTCGCCAGTAGCTGTCCAATTCCCAGTTGTGTGCTTGCACAGGCAGGAAGCCCTGAGGGCAGGTTGCACAATGACTTGCTCTGGAATGCTTTTGTCTTGGCACAAGCCACAGAGACACCTCTGCCTTGAACGGGCTGCAGGGCACAGAGCAGCAGCCTCTCTGCTGCATGTGCCTGCCCTGCTCAGCAGCACCGAAGTGCCCAGGCTCAGTGAGTGTGAGGAACCAGCAGAGAGGTGTCATAGCCTTGCTAAATCCTCTGGGAAAGTCTTTGTCCCCCGGTTTTATTCTGGAACCTGGAAGGCAGTGTACTGTGGAGTACATCGCTTGCAGGAGGCACAGTGTGAGCACATGGTGCACAGCCAAGCCCTGCTGGAGCCCAAGGGCTCCTCCCTCTGGGATGCTTCATGGCACCACGGGCACAGTGCAGGCACAGCTGTAGCCCAGAAGTTTCTTTAAATGGTGAAGCATTGTTGAGGGAAAAATTCCTCTTTTGAGGTCTAAAGTATCTCTTTCCATTTTGCTGGGGATAAGTGGAAAAAAGAGGCTTGAATTTATTTGTCTGCTGCTTTTCTTTCCTTTGAGTAGGCAGGGAGTTGCAGTAGAGAGACAGGTTTTGCCTCAAACCCCAGAGGGTTTGAGTATATTCCAAAAACATGCCAGATCGCATGTTTGGGATTCCCACCCTCTGTAAGGCACCTTTTTCACGTACATGTGAATATATGTATCTGTTTTCCTGGAATTGTGTGCTTTTGAGAAAATACACTGTAATAGAAGACTGTTACAATCCTTGATTTCTTTCTAAAAAAAATTAAGATGAGGATTTCAGCTAACCATCTCTTTAAAGAGCCCTTTAAAACAAAGGCAGAAGATGCCGGCAGAGCAACACAATAGGGCAAGCTTAAATAAAAAACAAGATGCCAAAAGCATCCCCAGACTATTGGCTCTGGTTGTCTGCCAAGAAGAGATTTATTCTCCAGTGGTGTATCATGTAACTACCAATTCTGCTTGCAATCTTAACTTGCAGCCTTGGAGTTTGTCCATATTTGATTTGTTTTTCAGCGCTTCACCTGGAAGGGGCCGTGGGGCAGTGAAGGTTACCATGGGTCACTGCAGTTTGCAGTAATATGTTTTCAGTGTAGTCCAAATTCTCAGCTGGAGACTCTTTCTTGGGATGCTTAAGGATTGTGTGGAAAGGAATTAGTCCAAATAACCCTTAAACTTGTTTAGAAAGAGTCTTTCTATCCTTAGGATCATGTTATATAATGATCTGGTTTTTGACATTTCTGACTGGAAAAGCATGTGTGTGGGGAGGGAAGGAATCAATTCAGCAACAAAAGAAAAGGTTCTTTGTGTAGAAGATGGCTGTAAAGAAAGTTAGACTTACTGACAGGAGACCTACATTTGTACTGGGCAAGGTTCTGCTTCTTCTCTAGAAAAAGTCTGTGAATGTCTCTTCTTACCCTGTTGCTACACTGCCCCAAACTCTCAGCAGCCTGCAAGCAGTCAGATGTCATGCAGCACTTATTTTTGTTCCTTACAAAATTCTCTTTCGCTTTCCTGGATATTAGCAGCCTCTAGGGCTCCCTTCCTTGGCCTCACAACTTTGCAGGCTCAGGAATAAAAATAAAATGAGGCAGGCATTAATCAGTCAGTGTCAAATGCTTGGAGAAGATGAATGATACAGCAGAGTCTTGGCATTTCCGTTCTGTTGCATTGCCTGCATTACTAATTCTCCTTCTGGCACTGGGTCACTTCAGCGTCCTGCCTATTTGCCTGCAAAAATATTATCTTTGCAGCTGGGGAGAAGGAGGAAGGTTCTACCTTCCCTCCCCCTCTGTATGGGGCATCAGGGTATCACAAAAAAACCCCCCTGTGTTTCCAAGTTTTTCTGAGGGCTATGGCTATGCACACTCTCTTCCCTGCAGAGACCTTTGCTCCACCATCATGGTTCTTCATTTCAGCCCCAAAGTGCCAGGGGTGAGGTTGGATAGAACTCAGTAAAACAAAGTTCTGTCTGGGTTCCTCATCCCACAGAAATGGTCAGTATCTAAATGAGCAGCTCAGCATCTGGGCTGCAGGAGAGATTTAGCTCCTAAAGCACCTCAGTCCTGCGGCTAATGCTGCATTTTGAGGGCCATGCCTGCTCTGGAGATTTACACACATTGAGGGGTGGTGATATCAAAGGGAACCAGAGGACAGAACAGGGCTGACTGAACCCGGGGGTCAAGAAAACACTCTGGGGCTTGGGTGAATTGCCTTGCTTACACCTGAATTGCATTGCAAAATCAGGCTGGAAACATCGCTTTCCTTTGCAGAGAAGGAAGGGAAGGTAAATGTGGTTGGTACACAACTTACTAATAAAGTTTCTGAGCTCAGTGCCCACAAGAAGCCCAGCCTGCCCCAAGCTCTGCAACACCTGCATTGGTCTCTCAGCAGGTCACCAATGCCTCAGACAGCTGGGCCGTGAGGGATGTCCCAGCCTCGCAGCACCGCCTGACCCTCACCAGGCTGGACCCTGGGAGCCTCTACGAGGTGGAGATGGCTGCTCACAACTGTGCCGGCGAGGGACAGACGGCCATGGTGACCTTCCGCACCGGTAAAGGACAGACCTTTCCCTGGGTTCCCTTTGCTCCGAGTCAGGGGAGGGGCCCTCTGAAACATCTTGTCCCAGCCCTGAGGCACAAGGCACCAGCCTTTGGACAGTGGGAGTGTTTCTGCTCTGGAAACCCATCTGTCCTCAGCTTAGAGCACCTCTCAGAATGGAAGGTGGAGGGTAGGATGGAGAAAATTCCAACCCATCCTCTGTGTGGGCTGGAATGAGTCCCTTCTTCCTTTGGTATCTCAGTTGATCACCTGCAGAACTGTAGAAAATGGGTCTAGCATAAATGTCAAGAGGTTGTTAAATCCATTCTCTGCTTGGAGACAGAAATCTAGCAACATTTAAAAAAAAAAACCAAAAAAACAATTAAAGGTTGTAGAAAATTAAATTTGAGGGGGATTATTAACAAATCTGTACCTTTAGCTTTCTTTCCTGCCAGTAGGCTGAACGAGCCCCTAGGGCTTTTAAGAGTCCAGGACATACTTACCTCCACATCCTGTCTGGGAATATTTGCTTTCCTCATCGCAGCAAAAGTTAATTCTGAGTACATCTCTCTGTTACTGATGCCACGTCTCCCTTCTGCACAGGCCGGCGCCCAAAACCAGAGATTGTTGCCAGCAAAGAGCAGCAGATCCAGAAGGATGACCCAGGCACGAGCACCCAGAGCAGTAACCAGGCCGACAACAGCCGTCTGTCCCGTAAGGCCCTCCCTGAACTGGCACTGGGCAGGGTGCAGGTGCTGGGTCTTGTGGGAGGCAGTGGCCAAGCCATGCTGGGGTTGAAGTCTCCACTGGGTAAATCAAGACTGCAGTGCTGGATGGGTGGTTTCTAGCTTCTGACAAGGAGAGGACCTTCTTGGACACCCCTACTACTGCCCTTGGCAGACTCTGAGTCCTGGAGAGCAAGCAAATCCCACTGCCTGGCCCCACCTTTAATGCGAGGATGTCTCAGCAACTCTCTTGCCTTTTTCTGAGTTCCACACAGAGGGTTCAGAAAGCTCTGTCTTGGAATCTGTGAATGTGTGAGACACAGGAACAACAAACTGCACTGCACCAGTGGGTCCTGAAGGAGTGTGAGGGAGGAATGGGGACCAAGTTCCTGCATGTCCTGGCATCTTCCTCTCTCAGCCAAGCCCTGGCTAGGGACAATTAGTTCCCATTCTGCAGGTGCAGAGTGCTCCATTTGGGTATCTTGCTGCACTGGAGAAACATCAGATCCTTACTGGTCAATCTAATTTGTTGTTTCCCACCTTGTCTCTATCATTACTATCACCTTTATAATTTCTGTGAAATTCTCTCCTTCAATCCTCATCCTGTGAGTTGCCATCCTTAGTCTCCCCCATACTCATTCATTTGTTGTCTTTGTTTTCATATCCCTAGCTCCTTTCATCTCTTTTCCTTCCATTTTTTGATTGTTTTCCTGTCAAATTGTATTTCCACAGTTCAGAACTTTTCCTTATTTCCTTCTCAGCTGATTCCTTCTCAATCTCTCCTGTTTCCATCTCCTACACTTGGTTGTCCCCAGCATCAGTGTCCCCTTACTCACTGCTTCCACATCACCCAGGCTTTTTGCTCTGTCTCCAGCCCTGCAACCACCCTTCTCATTGCTTTCCCTGCCATGATGGGTGATCACACCTCAAACCTTGTCTCATCCTAATTGAGCTAGGAGTGGAAAAGGAGCAAGGTGAAAGAAGGAGTAAAAGGTGCTTGTGGTCACAAACTGAAAAGCATGAGGATTTGTGGGTGCCAGCTCTAATGAAGAGCATTCAGGAGTTGCAGAGCATGTGGCTGGGTGCAATGCAGGTAGTCATTCACCTACATACCGCTGAGCCACAGGATCCTCCAGACGTGGTGAGAAGAATACATTTCACATCCTGATGTCCTTCTGGGTCCCTTGCAGCTCCAGAGGCACCGGACCGTCCAACCATCTCCATGGCCTCAGAGACATCTGTGTATGTGACCTGGATCCCCCGTGGGAATGGTGGGTTCCCCATCCAGTCTTTCCGCGTGGAGTATAAGAAATTGAAGAAGTTGGGAGACTGGGTCCTGGCCACCAGCGACATTCCTCCCTCTCGCCTCTCTGTGGAAATCCCAGGCCTGGAGAAAGGTAGGCAGGTGCTCTCCTCTCTGCTTCCTGGAGGTATGTAGGAAGGCTGCAGGGTCCCTGTAGGATGCTTAACCATCTGTCACATCCTGCTCAGCCCTGGCATGTGTGAACAAAACAAAGCTTCCCTGACTCCTGCCCTATGTGCATGGGGAAAAAGCTGCAGATGCTTCTCCAATTTCTCCAGCTGCAGAGAACAGCATAGGTTTGACCTCCCTCAGGGAGGCTTAGGCATGCTTTTCTGTATTACAGGATACAGTTACTTAAGGCATTTGCTTTTGCCTTTTACAAGACAGGACAGAACTTTCCTTAGACACAGACGAGACAGATGGGCACACAAATCCCGTTGCACCTCACATGAGAAAAGATTTCATCATGCAGCTGGACAGCTTAGAAAGGGAACATAACTACCCCAAACTAAAGACCAGTAAAATGAAGTTTGGGCAAAAATTATGTAGGGTTTGAGCTTTTGATCTGATGTTTATGTACTTAATTCCCATGGACTAGAGGAAGAACACATTTCCATACCTGCTTTCAAGTCAGGATATCCTTTCAGGCATTTCTTAACCCCCTGCACACCTTCCAAAACTGCTATCTGACCTTTGGACCATCCAGACAGGAATGGGGGAAGGTAAATGAAAGCAGGCTCCATCTAGGACATGGCTGAAATGTGGCCATTCAGTGTTTGTACTTCCACAGCAAAGTTGCTGTAGGCTCTCTGCCTTCTGGAGATGTAGCCCCTCTTCAGAGTCAGGGCCATGCTGACAGTAGAAATCTTGGAAAACTCCAATCCCTGCAACTGTTTCATTTCCTATTTTCCCCATAGGCACATCCTATAAATTCCGTGTGCGGGCGCTGAACATCCTGGGAGAGAGCGAGCCCAGCGCGGCGTCTCGACCATACGTGGTGTCTGGGTACAGCAACCGCGTCTACGAGCGCCCTGTGGCTGGGCCCTACATCACCTTCACGGATGCCATCAACGAGACCACCATCATGCTCAAGTGGATGGTAAGGCTTGTGGGGGTGGAGAGTGCTGCAGGGGCAAGAACCAGGTGTGCAGGTGCTCCTTGCCCAGTTTATACCTCCTCCTCCCCCAGGTTACCGTGCTGGAGCTTGTCACCAGCACAAATGGGTCTGGAATCCAATAGCTGCCTCCACCAAAGGAGAACTGGGCTTGGGACACACAGAAGGGAAGGACGTCACAAAGCCTAGGAAACCCTTTCTGTCTGAATCCACATTGTATACAGGAAGATTTCAGTGGATAACCATGGAGTCTCTACCATTTTGTTCAATAAGCACAGTTGAACAATGAATTCATGGGGTGGCTGCTGCTCCATTAGCACCTCCTCTCTCCTAGTATTTTCCAGCAGATATGTCTTTCACTCATTTGCTGGGTAACAATCGTAAACGTTGATAATAATTTACAGCAGTCCACTCCAGAGGATTTTTAGGAGTGGGTGGGATCTTTTGGATTACAAGCCCAGATCTGAGTGTTTTCAACAACTTAGAGCTTATTCAGAGGGATGCACTGCTCTCCTCTCCTAGCTGCTTCTAGCCAGAAATTGCCACTAGGCAGGATGGGCACTGCTGTTCATTTAAACTCAAACAGTAGCTGATAAAATACTGGGTGAAAGACAGCAAAAACACATGGAGCTGGGACAGTACTGCCCTGGGTGTCGGGGGGAAGAGAGCAGTCTTCAGAAACATAAAGCTCCTGCAGTGACCAGTTCATGGCAAGACTCAGTTTGTCTGGAAGCCATGAGCCTACTGAAGTCAAGATGATGATGTGCTTGCTCATGCCCAACTGAGTCACTGTTGTTCAGGAATTTTTTTCTCTTGAATCACTGGCTGTGGCTGCTGAGAGGGAGCAGAGCACTGAATGCCTGGAGTGACAAGCCCAGATTCACAGCTTGTCTGTTACCTGAGAGAAGCAAAGCTTGAGAGTAGAAAGTAGCGCTGAGTTTTTGTAGGGAATCCCTCACTGTGCAAACAAATGGCAACACAAGGAAGGTCCCTCTGCTAATTTATCTTCCTGTCCCATCCCATTTATCCTAGCTACTCCTCAACTAGTACAATACAAGCATGGACATCTCTGCTAATTTCTGCTCTCCCTCCCATTCTCTGCAGTACATTCCAGCCAGCAACAACAACACTCCCATCCATGGATTTTACATCTACTACCGCCCCACTGACAGTGACAATGACAGTGACTACAAGAAGGATGTGGTGGAAGGTAGGAGAAATAGAGAGACTGGTCCCACCACTGGTCCCTGCTGGAAGACAGCACAGCCAAAAGGAGCCCAGTGCACAAAAGGCAGCAGTCATCTGGGCTGCTTTACCACACACTGCTGCAGAGCTAGGCCAGCTGCCTGTTCCCTGAGGAAGTTAAGAGCTCCATGTGTTTGTTTCCTCCTCAGGAGATCGGTACTGGCACTCCATCAGCCACTTGCAGCCAGAGACCTCTTATGACATTAAGATGCAGTGCTTCAATGAGGGGGGTGAAAGCGAGTTCAGCAATGTGATGATCTGTGAAACTAAAGGTAAGTGGATTCCCAGGGCAGCTGCTGCCTTCCCTGCCTGCAGCTGTCAGAGCACAGCAGGGCAGGAACCATCCCACTGCCTGACATTGCATTACCCAAGTGAAGTGGTGGAGGCAGCACTGGAGAGAAGAGAGATACAGGGTTGTCCATGCTGTTGATCAGTGTGCCCGGTCTGTGCTCACCCCTTGTGCAGAGTCTGCTGCTGTCCCTCAGAGCAGCAGTTACCTTTTGTTTTCCTGTCACAGAGGTGGTGACTGGAAGCAGAAGGGCTAACTTTCCCTTGCTGTGCTGAACTCCATGTTGTGTTAGAAGCAGGCCCCATGTTGTCTTCAAAGCAGCTGCACTGTCATGACAGGAACAGCATTAACCATTAAGTCCAAGCATCCACTTTGGAGAAACTTATTTGGATTTACTTTTGCTCGCGCAGTCCACGAGCAGATCGGGCAGAGCTGCGAGCCAATCACAGAGGCCTTGTCTGTACTGCCATATGCATCAGCCTAGGATTCCTGTCATCCAGGAGTGCTTCTTTAAAGCCACTCCACAGCAGCATTAACATCCCTGGACTGCTGTGCCATCTGCCATGTCTGTAATGTTCTCTCTCCCTTCCACAGCTCGGAGGTCTCTTGGTCTGCCAGGTCGTCTTCCACCCTCCACAGTGCCCCCTCAGCAGCGTCCCCCACTCAGTGGTGGGCACAGCGGCCTGGGGACAGGAGCCATGGTGGCCCGTTCCAGTGACTTGCCGTACTTGATTGTAGGCGTTGTGCTGGGATCCATCGTCCTCCTCATTGTGGCTTTCATCCCCTTTTGCCTTTGGAGAGCTTGGTCCAAGCAGAGTAAGGGTTGTTTCTTGGGGGCTGATTTACAGGATGTGGTTTGCCTGTGGATTAAATCTGCCCCGGGGTATAGTTGCATCAAACACCCAAAACATGAGGGAGTTCTGGGAGGCAGGGAAGGGATGGACAGAGGGCAAGTCTCAGATGTCCTGTGGAAGCCCATAAAGACAAAGGCCACTGTTTGTCCCTTGTTCTGCTTGCCTTGTTGCAAAGTAACCTCTGGGACTAGGGGGAAGGGCTCCTTTTCACCATTTATCTCCAACAGTGCTTTGGGTGCCAAAATAGCTGCCTGACAGGACAGCCTAACTCTATACATGCTGAGCTTCAACAAGTGTGACTTTATCTCTCATTTTGCCTCAGACTTTCTTTTCCTTCCCTCTGCAGAGCAAACCATTGACATGAGCTTCCCAGGAGCTGGGCTGCTGGTGTCATCCTGCCAGTACACCATGGTGCCTCTGAGAGGCATCTCTGCTCCTCGTGCCAATGGACATCCCTTTGTTAATGGGCAGCCCTATGCCAGCAGGGCACATCTGAATGGCATCTGCACCCCTGCAGGAGTGGGGTATGCAAGCACCAAGCCCCGAGATTACAGCCCTGATGAAATGCCACAGGTGAGTCCACACCTGGAATCAAAAGCTGCTTTGTCATGAGCTGGAGACACACTTGCAGTGAGAGGGTTTCTCCAGGCATGGCTGGCACACTTTGCAGCATGTAGAAGTGGCAAGGCTGGCTTCCCAAAACAAATTTCCCCTTTGTAGTGAAGTCTGAGACATGGGGGGAACAACAAAGTCTCCAAAACATGGGTGAAGGCGTGGTTTCTTGGGCAAGGTGCCTCTTAAGTATGGAGGGGGCAGTGAGAAAAGGCAACTCTTATTGGAACAGTTCCTGTGTCCCCTGAGCAAAGCTCACAGGGACTGACAGTGCTGAGGACTCTGTCTCTAAAAGGGTGAGAGGCAGTGCCAGAGCTGAGACTATAAATTGCTTATCCCCCACTCATTCAGCAGTAAGTGTAAAGTGAGTTTTTCAGTGCTCAGTTTCACTGCCCTCAGTAGCAAAAGAAACAGTTTCAGCTTTTTCTGACTTCTGCTGTAAAAGCTTCCACGGTCTGCCCCAGGGCTCTGTCTCACAGATCAGCACCTGCCTCTTAATGCTGCTGTGTGCCATTGCTCTGCTAAGAATCCTTCTCTCTCCTTCTCTCTCCTTCTCTCTCCTTCTCTCTCCTTCTCTCTCCTTCTCTCTCCTTCTCTCTCCTTCTCTATCCTTCCAGTCACAGGAGGAGACCAACACCTTGCTGCAGGCAAGAGTGCTGCAGAATGGGAGTGCCCAGCAAGACTACCAGTCCTCCAGGTGAGTCCTGGCCTGTGGAGAGGGAGGGTGGAACAATCCACTAGGACCCACAAGACTACATGCTCACAAAGGCCTGCCCTCAATATACTCCTATGTGTCCCAGCTCTTGAGAAACAAATCCATGCTCTTTGGTGTAAATTCTTTTTGCACAACTCATTCCTCTTAGGATTTCAGAAAGGAATAATTTAATTGTAGAGGTGGCCAAGACCTACTCCCCTCTGTCCCCTTTTCCTCCTCCTGTTTCTAAGTGGGAGACTGAAAAGCAGGATGAGAGAAGCAAACGTGTGATTGATGCTGATAAACAGCTGCCCCAGAATCTGCCTGGTGTCCTGCTGTGAGTGCTTTGTGTCTCACTGTTCAGATATCCTTCATTACAATGCTCCCTGTGAGGCACTATTCCTTTCAGCTCCTGTGGCACTCACCAGCTCTTGGGTCATGGATACCAGGTCTCACATCTCCTCATTCCCATACCACAAGTACATCCCAATTTGTGCTCTTCCCCTTATTTAGGAATGTTCTGTGTCACAGCATTGATGAGCTAGCTGACACATGACACAAGTTATATCTTTCAAGGAGGAAAGATCTGTAAACAGCACTAAACCTCTTTGCCTGCTTCCGCAGATTGCCCAGCTCCAGAACAGAAGACAGCTCTTTCCTCTACAGTCTCCCAGATGACTCCACTCACCAGCTTCTTCAGCCACAAGATGACTGTCCTCACCTGCAAGAGCACTTTGCTGGTCTCCATCATCCAGTGATAGGAAGCAAAGTGGGAGGCCCTAGCCTGGATGCTCGACGGGATACCCTCTTCCACCAAGGTCAGTGATTTGGAAAACTCCATGCCTCCTTCATATCATCATTTTAGGCTGCTCTTGAAGGGAAATCTCACTGCAGAACCTTTCTGATGGCTTGTATTCAAGTGATGTGAATCTATCTCCCTAGGATCTAATCTATTGATCCAACCCTGTAGTGCAGATCAGACTTGTTTTGTGTGATTGTGGCATCGAATTCCCACACAGACTTTCAGAATGCAGATCTTCCGTTTTGATCAGAGTACCCCTCCTCATAAAGTGAACTGTTGACTTGAAACCTCCCACTGCATCTCTTTCCAGTGTGCATTGTAATAATTTCTTGCTCCTTTCCCCCTCAGGAAGCCCTTGCTGCTTAGGCCTAGTGCCAGTTGAAGAGGTAGAAAGACTAGACTGCTGCCAGTCCAGAGGAGATCTCCATGCTCAGAATCTGGTGATCACATCTTTGGGTCAGGACCTACCAAGACATCTGAACAGCAGTCCTCCACCACTGAGACCCTTAGAGACTCATTCTCCCACCAGCTAGGGACCAAACTGCCTTTTACAAAAGACTTATTCTAAAGAGAAAAAAAGAAAGGGTATTTATTTTTATATAACACCCCTATTTATATATTTATGCACTTGTATATAGATGTATATGTGTCTTTTATAATGCTATGGAGACAGAAGGCATCCTCAACAAGGTCACAGGAGGACCCAGGAAACAAGGCAGCAGCTCTCGGTGGCACCATCAGAGCACACGATGGAAACAGCTGGACAAGGGACACTGCAGGACATGGGTCTAAACCAAGCTGCCAGCACCCTCTTGCAGCGAGGGTTTCACAACAAATAATGCTGCCCAAAAGGTCTTTTCCTTTCCCTCACAGGGAGGTTTGTTCCAGGAACGCGCTCCTGTGAATGGACTGGAGTTATGCACTCTGCCTAATCAACTTAAACAACCTTTCACATACACGCCATCTGCAGCTGCCTATCTGTGAAGACAAATCCACGCTTTAACATCTAAAATAAAGGCTTTAGTCTTTGCTGTGCCTGGCTCTAAGGTGATTCCTCACACAGAATAAGCCTTCTCTTTTTCACTTGCAGACATACAGCAAGCAGGGCACCTGGGGAAAGGTAACATTTTCCTGCAGTTAGAGTTTTCCAAATAGTCACTAGTGATGCTGAGTCTGGGGTCTTCTTGTTCCCTGTCTCCAGCTGAGTCTCTGGGTGTGTGGTTACCCAGCTGGCACTTTATGTCCTTGCCCTTTGTTAGGCAAGGGATTGGTGCCAGACAGCCTCTTGCCTGGGGCTCCAGCCATTTCCTACTTCCCAGGGCACAAGTTGCAGCTCACAAGAGCTCCCAGCACCAGGTGTGTTCCTTAGCAGGGACCCCCTGTAAGGGTAAGCTGCACAAGCACCATTCACATGCTTGTGCTGGGACCAGCAGGAAGTTCTTGTGCCTGGCTGGGGTGTGGCTGGAGCCCTGCTGAGCGTACACCAGACAGAGACGCAAAGACCTGTGGCAAGAGGTGAGAAGTGGAGAGGAACAGCTAGACCAGCTGGAAGTTGTTTAATATATTCAGTTAAAAATTAGCACCTCAGGAGCCTTGCATGGGAAGAACACAACCCCTCCAGCCTGGGGATGAAGGAAGGTTTCACAGTCTGGCAGGTTAAGTGCTGTAAATGATCACATGCTGCCACCTCACCAAATGGGAGAGGCAAAAAAGAGCAACACCTGAAAACACACAGAGCTCGGCCCTCTGACTGATCAGGCAGGTGCAAGCCAGTGGAATTACAGGCTGACTTAGCTTTGTTTCACCCTCCTCCTGCCAGATAATGCCACTGCCTTCCCTGAGGAGAAAGGCCCCTTTGCTTTCTCCTGGCTAGTAGTGTGTCCCTGGACTCTAACTCGCTCAGGTATCAGAGCAGGGCCACTGCTGCTCAGCAGTAACAAACGCTTGCTTGAGGCAGACTTCTTTTACCATTTTTGAGAACAAATATTTGCCCCAAGGAAATTTCAAACCAGCTTTCCACTTGTTTGAAGATAGACACAGACATAATGCACACACATGGACACATACAGGGCACCTTGTCCAGTACAACCCTCTGCAATGGACTGATAACATTATTTAGCAGTTTTAGTTGCTATTTTTTATTCCAAATATGTTGTTACAGTCATATTTTGATAGAAAAAACAAATACAACCCTTTACAAATAAACCCCTGGACAGCCAAAACAATTAATTTTGCACTTCCAGGCATGACTGCTGCCACAGTTAATTTTAAGGGTGACTTGGATTGTTAGTTACTATTTCTGAACAGGGAGTTGGAGTCTCAGAGTCCTGTGGTAAAGGTTGTAGAAAGAGGCACCCATCTTTTCTGCTAAGGAAAGCGAGTTCTTTTACATCTCATCTACTCTGCCCTGGCTGATTTCCTCTTTTAGAAGGGTCACCTCACGAGTCACGTGCATAAGCCGTGACTCCAGCTGGGCTGTCTCTTTGATGTCAGCACTTCGGGTGCCCTCAAATTCTCCGCCCTGTAGAGAAAAAAAATTGAGAGGAAAAAAATGGCTCCTATAAAACACAGAGAATGAACAGTGGAAATTTATTTCAAGCAGGGAAAGTGAAGCTTTCCAAGAACCAGGACATACCCATGACTTTTCCCCACCTTAGTCAGAACTATTTGAAAGAGTGAAGGTTCACTAATTTAGACTTACTCCCTGGTACAGAGCAATAAACTTCTCATTGTAATGCTGTTACATGACTGTAATATGACTGTTTCCATGTAACAAAGGAATATTCTTTTAATTCCTTCAAGGTATATTTTAATTCGAAATTCATTTGTTTCAGTCTTAGAAAGCAGCAAAATAAGAGCTTGCAGAGATGGTAAGGTATGGAGCAGCCATTCAGCCTGTCACACACTTAGCCCAGACTGCTGACTGCAGAGCATGATGTGAGACCAGGGAGCTGGGGAGGGCCAGATGATCCCTTACCCATTTCTGAACAGTCCCAAACCTGCAAGCACTGCAGTGGCTACAAGGCTCACCTGACCAGTTGTCAATGATTCCAGTTCAGTTTCAAGCTGATGCTTTTCATGGCAAAACTTGTTGAGTTGGTGCAGCTTGCTGGTGTTTTCCCTTGTCAGTTTTGTTAGCTGATGCTGCAGGAGTACAATTCTTTCCTAGAAAGATGTAAAAACTTGATCTGGGATGAGAGAGGACAAAAAGTGTGGAGTGGGGAAGAAGTGCTAGGCACAATGTAAATGTCACAGGTGAACAACGGACTGATCCCGCCACACCGCCTGGCAGGATCAGCCACACAGTACCTTTAGTGCAGTGTCATCTTTTTGTTTTTAATATAACTAAATTACAAATGCCTAAGTAAAGCAGTTAGGAAGAAGTGTGAGAAAAAGAAAGCCATTAGGTACATAGTATTTCTGTACCCGCCTATGCTCTTCTGTAAGGGCAGCATAAGCGTGTTGCCTGCTTGCACCACAGCAGCTGAGCCTTAGGCCCCACCAAACAGAGACATGAACTTTTCAGACTGCACAGATTGGCACCCCAGCCATGAGCCAGAGCCTGCCCTGTATTCAAAGTTTGTCACCAAAGGCACTGAGAAAAGGCAGGAGGTACTGAATGCCACCTGAGAACCAGAGAAAAACATTCTGCAAGAACTTCATGTAGGGAATGAAGTAGGAGGAAAGCAAAACAGAGAGATCAACTACCTCTGTGAAAAATAGGATGTGCACCAGCAACTGGAGCAGAGGTAGCAGTGATGATGGGAAATTGGAGTTGAACACTATGGTCTATTAAGGACAAGTGAAAAAAATGCAACATGAGCAAGTTGACAAAAGATTTTACTGTAACTTTTCAGTCCCCAGGAAAATGAAGCCTTAACAGATCATCACAACATGTGTTTTCTTCCTCTTCCTGCTGCTTACCTCCCATTCTTTGAGCTCCATGAAATGCTCATACTCTTTCTCCATTATTCTCACTTTCATCTGCTCCATGGGTATATTAACAGAGTGTACTTGAACTGCTTCAAAATCAACCAGGCGACCAAACTTCTCCATCATCAGATTATTGCACCTCTCCTCCAGTCCTAACAGAGGGACATTAGCACAAATGGCAGCACTGTCATTCATTGGTTTACAAGAATTTCTGCCTTACCCCAGCTTTTTGTCTGAGTCCTTTGGTATTTGCTCTGTAATAAATAATTCACACAAAACCACATAGAGCTCACAACTGAGTCATGCCACTTGTCCTTGCCCATGATCATGCCTGTGTGGTCACTAAGCCACACTTTAAGCCAGTCCTAGTAAATCACTCTCACACCACAGGCTGCACAGGCCTCTGCAGGTCTGGTGGTGCTAGACACACCTTTGGATTTGGCTCTTGGGAAACGGTTTTGAATAGGCCTTGTTTCCTTCTTCAGATGTTCCAAAGGGGAGGAAATTACCAGAAAAAGCTTATGTATCTTTGGCAAAACTACTTTTATCCTAGGAGTTCTGGTTTACAAGCAGAAATAGCAAACATGCGTCCAGAATTCCAGTGTCTCATCTCAGTCAGCTCTACTTATACTGAGTTCCCAAATAATTTTGCACGGCCTGATGATTCTGCAATGCTGGAGAACTGCTACTCCATCAAAACATCTGTTCTATTTTCTGCAGCAACCCTCTGTGACATCTGTGCAAGTATAGAGCCAGACGTGGTGAGTTACCCACAGAAAGTGAGAGGGACAAGAAGGAACATTAGCAATGCTGTATTGTTCAGAGTCTCTGTTACTCACCTTGAATCTCCATCTCCATTTCCTTTTTCTCCTGGAGAAGCTGCTTATGTTGCTCCTTGGCCTTCTTATGGATCTCTCTTTGCATTATCTTTTCATTACGTAGGTCCACAATTCTCTTCTGCAGGTACTGCAAGGACTGGTTGGTAAATACTAAAGTCTGGGAGAAGTCACGGGGCATCTCCCCATCAACCAAGCACTGCACCTGCAAAAGCAGCCAGAAATAAGCAAGGCTGGCTTTACTTATTAAGGGCAATGGAGATGTGCCTTTATATAAAATGTGTGAGCAATAGAGAATTTCTGAGTGAAGTGGGCATGGGCATGACTCTTTTTTTAGGCCAGGGAATTGTGTGAGTGAATGCATTGTATCAAATCTGACATTATTGAATTAGGCAGAATTCCCATTAGTTTCAATAGTTTTGGGGGATTTTTTTGATTTGTTTTTCTGGGGAGGTGTTTCATTTATTTTTTTCCTCAGGAGAATATCAGTAGGTATGGACCTGAAGGAGAATACCATGCCAAACCTATACAGCACTTGAAGACTATGCACATTTCAGCAATGGGCCAGCCCATTGTCCTTACCTCATTTCTGTCAGTACAGAAGAAGGGAAAAAAAAGGGAATTCTAGAGGAAATAGCAGCATGAAGTTCAGTTAATGGCACTTCCTTCCCAGGAGACCATAGTGAATCAGGAACTAAGGGCCCCAAAGAAACAGTAACACCATTGTTTAGACGTACACAGGCTACTCTGCATGTGCAGATGCACAACATCTTGAATTACCTGATGGAGTCTCAAAGGCACAACTACATCCAGTTCATTCAGTTTGTGCAGCTTTTCCCACTGAAAGGCCTCCAGTTCCCTGTTTGTTGTGTCCAGACTGGTTTCTATTTCTTTTGCCTGCAGAAAGACAAATTGTGGAAAAACAAAATCCTGTGATACTTAGAATACATAAGGCAACAAGGTTCTGTTAGAGTTCCTGATCCAAAGGGAAAGAAGTGTATAAAAATGTGCTTTTTTAAGCTACATATGATAGGTGAGTTTCGTAGGCAAACCCAAGGATCATCTACATATATTCAAGCAAGATTCTAACCTGAATACCTCTGCACACGTGTACACTCGTGAATGTCTCCTTAGAGCTGCCCTGTATGTGTCAAGAGACAGCTGCTTTGTTTAGCATCTAAAACACTTGTAGATCTACAGAGCCTGTAAGATAATTTTTATTGTGTTATGCCTGGAAATGCTTATTGATTCTGCATGAGAAAGAAACAAATCAGACTCAAATGTCATGCCCCAGGGTGAATATGTGGCAGCTGGCACTTAGGAAAGCCTTTAAAAACTAAAAAATGTTGCGTGTTAAGCATGCTCGATGGAACATTTTTGAGACAAAAAAAGCACAAGACTTGCATAATGTTATTTTGCTAGCACCCTCTCTCTTCAAGATAACTCTTCAAAATAAGATATTTTTAATCAATACAAATAAAATTTCTTAATGAATGCAGGAGTTCAAAAAAACAAAATATCAAATTTGTACCAAAAGTTTATCCAATGATTACCTGAGACAAAGAGCAACAGAAAATAACTAAAAGCAAAAGAAATAGATGGAAGAATAGAATTTTTATGCATTTATTTTAACCTGGATTTGTGTTAGGGTAAGTATTCTTCAATCTCTGTTCCCATACACACACAGAGAAGATAGGCCAGACCACACCATATGTTTCATCTGAACCAGAGAATCCAGTTCCTGCTGCTGCATGAGGTTAGACAGCTGGGAAGGAACTGACCTAAAGCCTGGATCCAGCCCCATGAAAGCTAAGGTTGGACCAATTTGATTTATCCTTTTCAGGAGAACAGGTGACTCATGTCGAGCTGCCTCCTGCCTCTGTGCTATCACAGATATCTCTTCCCAAATGGACATCTCTCAGAGGGTTAGGATTCCATTTTTAAATCTTAGATCAGCACTAATCACTAGCACTACATTCAACATGCTGATGCTTTCTGAGAAAACACTACAATACCTTTATGGCCAAGGCATTATATTCCTTTTTAAGGTTAGCAGCAACTTTCTTCTCCTCTTCTAAAGCTTTCTCAATGCCTATCCGTTGCTGTCGGAGCTGGATGGTGTTCAGGAAGAGATCCTCACTGCAGCCTGAGAGGGAAAGGGTCAAAGAAGAACTTACTTTCACTGTGACTACTCTGGAATTACTGAGTAGAGCTGGTACCTTGTCCTGTGCATATTCCCAGCATTCCCCATAATAACGCCATGGGTTTGGTTCCCCATTGCTTCCTTAAACATAAACCCATGGGCCACGTGCCTCCATGAACAGGTCAATGTCTTGGATGGATCTTTTTCTTCTTTACATTCAGTCAAGATATCTTGTTTCCAGAAGTCAGATTAAATGCATCAAAGCCAGCATTAAGGGCAAGTGCTCAAAAACTAGCTTTTGTAAGCAATGCAGTCCCAGTAGTTAATACATGTTTTAGTAAAATCTTCAATTATGTGAGCACATAGTTGTTTCTCCACAGCACCCTTCACAATATGAACTAGCTGTAGGGATCATTTATAGCTCTACTTGTAAACAAAGCTGTATTTCATAGAACCCGTGTCATGGTAAGGAAGATCTCTGAATTTCTACCTAATACTGTGATTTCAGTAATGCTTAGCAAATGCATAATTATGCCCATATCAGCAGACATAATAATAAAAAAGAGAGCCCAATAAAGGCCAAAAAGTTTCCACATAAAGAGACAAATATGAAGACGCTAACGCAACATGTAATTACCCTATTAAATTAGCAATTTGAAATTTTTATTTCTTCCCAACATTCCATTGAAAAACGAGATAAACAAGAAGTTAATAAAAATTCAATTTGTGGAAATGATTTTAAAATCCAATTTTAAAAAAAGGGAAGGCAAATTGTTGGTAAGTTAGAACTTCAAAATGAAGCAGTGCTGTTACATGGTCAAAGAATTTCACTCAAAGAATTTTTTTTAAAAAAACAACATCCTAAATTAGCTAAGCTTGCACAAAAGAAAAGGAGGAAGAGAGATTGCCTGCCTTTTTTGAATGCACAAATGAAGAGGATTTTGCAAAGTAAAGCTACTAACTTTTCAGAACAGCCTAGCAACAGGCCATTGCTGCATAAATCCACGAGGTGGTAACAAAGAGCTTCGATCAACAGCATGAGGATCCCCTCAGAATTTCCCTGAACAGAAAGGGATCCAGCCAGGCCAGGCAGCTGGTTTCCAAAGAGCAGCTACAGCCTTGCCACTGCTCCAATCCAGAGAGGAGCCTTTTCTCTCCAGATAACAGCCATGAAATAGTAAATGCTTCTTTACACAAAATAATTAATTCTTAGTGCTTAGCTAAGTTTCATTTTTCCAAACTTTTTTTTAATTAGGATAGTCTACACTAAGTTTTATTGTCTTGACCAAAGTTTCCCAGGGAAAAATACTGCACACAGAAGGGGTACACACATTCCAGCCCTTCATTACATTACCATGCAGTGAATAATTTTTAAAAATCTGTGTTTTCTTTTCAAACACATGATGTTGGCCCTAAAGCTAAACAAGTTAACACAAGGAAATAACAGCTTAGGTACCTTCTGGGCAAACTGAGTCATCAAAGACTATGTTTACAGATCCACAATTTTCTTCATCAGCCTTTAAGTCAGGCTTTTCATCATCCTCTTCTTTATTTTCATTTTGTTCACCTGAAAGAAACAGGCACTGGCTTGCAAAGTGCTTCAGACTCATCAGCTATGCATTCTGCCAATGTGCTGGTAAACACAAGCCCAGCAGCCCATGAAAAATCATTCTGGTGATATGTGAATCCAGGCCCTTTGTGCCTATTGCATTGATCTGATGCAATGTTTTCACAGAAAGGAAAAAGAAAAAAGGGAAAGAGAGAGAGACTGAGAGATCACCTCGTAGTAGAACAGGCACAGGTGCAGCCCATGTTTTTGGGACTTATCTTCAACATATTTCCTCTCTTTATACATGTTAGGAACTTAAACAGTGTAGGTTTACCATTCTACCAGAAAGATTAATCAACCAAGCAGAATATGGAAGCACAAATCTGTCGTAAAACATCACCATTGTCTGCACTTCTTGCTAATCATGTCCCACTTGAAATCAAAAGCTAAGTCAGAGCAAGCACAAGTATTTTAGCTCAGTAGGACTGCCTAGCTTTAACAGCTTAAAACTGAGTAACTAAGATGAATGAAATCCTTTTGTAATATGTTTAGTCCTGTGACTAATAGATGATTGCAGATTAGGTTTATGATGTCTCATTAGTCCATGGACAGATTAGAGCAGAATGTCATGAATGTGACAGACTAATCACTTATCCATAGCTCCCATTGGTACAGCATGAGAAGCACCCATTTAAAGCTGTGCCTCTTCCTCTTACCAATTATCAGTCCTCGGCACTGACTTACAGGCTGTAAATTGCAGGAGCTGTTATCAGACCAACTGCCGTCATGTTAGAAACTGGATTACTTCATTGTTATCATTCAAGATGACAGCCACAGAACACATTGTCAGTCTATAAACAAATCTGGGTAAGTCTGACCTACGGGTTTTTGAACTGACTGGAGTGTTGTGTGTACTCAGGACTCCAGCTAGACCGAGAGATAGGTACTTGACCACATGGAAATACGTATAACAAATCCACAAAGCAAAAAGAACAAAATCTCCAACCTGCTTCTCCTCCTACTTCTTTTTTTTCCACACATTCAATTTCCTTCTTTAAAATATCAGTCAGAACATCAGCAAATTCATTGTTTTCTCCAAGGGATGCTTTGAAGCTGGCATAAAGAGCTTTCTCACGTTCCTCAAGCATTACAATCTCACACTTTCTATCCTCCATTTGTGCAAGGCAGCTCTTCAATTTTGACTAAACAAACAAAAAACTATTTCAGTTAAAAGGTACAGCACATGTGTACGTATATAGGATGCATCTGTGAAGATTTGGAAATGCAAAACTTGTCTTTCTCTCTTGATTAAACCCATGGTTCAATCAAGCATCACCTAGGAATATATTCTTAAAGTATGTGATTAGTCACTTATGCCACTTAATGAAGGATCTGTTAAAATACAGATATTAAGATTATTAAAAAATTAAGTATTGGAAGTTAGAAGCGACCATCCTATTAGGCTGATCATCAAGAGTTTCTTGTTTTTCAAAATTTAGCACTAGTCACTGGATTGGTGCTAAAACAAAGTCAAGGAATGCCACCATTTACTTTATGGTTTACTTTGGTTTCAAGCCATGCATTAATGGTACTGTTAAATTAAAATTAATGATACACGTGATCCACTTACATGTACGTTCTCCTGTTTATTGATGAAGGCACAAATTTTCTCCTCAAGAAGGTCCTCATGTATCTCAAGTTTCTTCAGGATAAGCAGCTCTTCACAGCATGTGATGCAGCGCAGATCAGCACTTTTCATCTGCACATCCATCTTCAGTTTCTTGTGCCGCAAAAGGCAAAGTTCAGCATCAAAGTTGATCACCAGTGTGTTGATCTGGAGCAAAGGAGTGTGAAATCAGGAACAGGAAAAGTATTACCAGTGCATTTAAACATGCAAAGCTAGAGAAGGGAGCAGAAGGGAAAAATTCTCTCTGCCAAATCAACAACTCGGACATGCTATTTCCTAGAGAGTACTGATGCACTTTGAAAGACAATTCTTTGTTCTAAGCATAATAGTAAAAGAATCATCAGGGCTTCACAGGAATCTTTCTCTACATCCCCTCCATCCCTGAAGTATTTTACTCTTCAGAGAATGTTTTCAAGTAGTCTGTAGTTTACAGTAGTTTATATAACAATCCCAGATGCATCAATAAATAACTCTTCTGTCTTGACAGACTTCTTTTGAAATAGCTGCCAGCTCTGCACTTAGACATTTACAGCTAAATAAGTACTAGCAGCTGCTAACATTAACTTACAGGTGTGTGATGTTCACAGCAGAATTTGGTATTCCCTCAAAACCTTCATACACACAAACAAGGGTATCTGTGTTGAGGCAGACCAAAGAATCAACTCCCAGTAGAAGAAATTAGAGGAGAGATGCAAAGAAATGGAGCAAACAAGTGAACAGTGGCATACCTCTCCTATACAGCTCTCTTAAACTCTAACTCAGGTGCATCCTGAGCTTGAAGCAGTACACTTGTGTTCAACAGCTTTGAATGGATTTTTTTCCACATTATCAAATTATACCTTCCCCCACATTCTAGTGCTGAGTTCCAAAGCTTAGCATATTGTTGGAAAGGAAAACTATTTTCATTTGCATGCTTCAAGCTTTCTATACGACCATTTCATTTGATATCTCTCCTTTTAAGAGATTATTCCCTCCCTCCTTTTCTATGCTATTCAGAATTTTATCACATCACTAAAACAATTTCAGTTGCCTTTTTGCAGGCCAAAGATATATTATCCACTTAGATGTACCTTTCAAAGAATCTTTTCCATGACTAAGCATTTTGGTTACTCTCTTTTGTACCTTTTCTAATCCTACAAAGTCATTTTTTGGACCAAAAAAGTTGAGACTACAGTTATTGAAGAGCTGAGAACATGAATCTACAAAGTTGTAGTGATGATGCTTTTTTAACTCTAATTTTTCAAGTTATGTCTAACATTTTACTTGTCTTTATTTTTCCCCTTTTTTTGGCCACTAAGATCATAGCTTCATGGCACAATCAGTAAGAAATCGAAGATGTCTTTCAAGTGATAATAGTCAGAACACGTGTTATAGTTATGGATTTATACTGATTTCCACTGTAAATTTACAACAGTTAGCATTTTATGGGACTGCAGAAAGGCAAGACTAGCAGCAATCCTGAGACAGAAGGGGTTTTGGTTTCATTTATGAACCAGCGGGATTTTTTAATCTGACAAAAATAACTTTCAATTTCCTACCTTTTTAATCAAGGTCTCCTGCAAGTATAGATTTTTTATCTTCTCCCTCTTTAAAATTTCCAGTTCCATTTCTGTTGGCTCTGCTTTCCCCATCTCAAAAGACTCCTGCTCCTCTGTGACCACAGCTGATGCATCTCCAGCCTGTGCCATGGGGTCACCCTCTTCCACTGAAGGAGTTTGAAGAAACACGTGCCTAAATGCGCGAGATGAGGGACACCCTTCCAGTGGTTCCTTGAGCTTTGCCTTGGCCTCCTGCTCCTCTTTGAACTTTAGGAGGACATCACTGTTGTACTCAACTATTTTTTCAGGAACCTCATCTGGGTGTAACTGAGGGATCGGGGGAATAGGGAGATGTTCTGATGCATCTAAGTTTGCCTGTATGGATTTGACTTCCTTCACTAAACTCTTGATTTCATCAATAGTAGAAACCTTGAGATCCCTCAAAGACACAATCTCTTTGTTCATATTCACTTTCGCCTTATGGATCTGCAAAGGAAAAACTGTTTTAGTAGGATTCTCTACCACAGGAAGCAGTCTTACTCAACTCAAAAAGGCTAACATTAGGATAATCAATAATTCTGTGATAAGGGGACACTGTATTAGTTGATTCTTTTTACATAAAGTAATAATTGAATGTGATCTATCATCCATATACTTGGCAGAAACATCTTCTGATAAAAGAAAGTAACATACCATCCACCTGAAGCAGATGGAATTCCTCATCTGTATAAACCAAGAATTTATGACAAGAACTATTCCCTTTGTTTGTTCTAATGAGTTGGGTTAATCACTGGCTATCTGGTAGCAGTGATGTATATAGTATCTATCAGCACTACAGTGAGGTGCTGAAGTCCAAACACAAGACTAAAATGAACCAACAAATCCCCTGAAACTGTAGCATTGCTTCTGTAATGCTTAGGCCTCGCTGCCAAAGTTACGCAGCATCACTCTTTTGCACTCAGCCAAATACAGTGAAAGACCATTCCTATGAGAAGGATGGGGGGAAAGAAGTCACAGAGAAAGCAACAAAGATACCGCACAACATTTGAACTTAATGTGTCTTCAAGGTTGAAACATGTGTGGTAACTGTAGGTGTCCTACGATAGCAAGGTGGCTCAAAAAAAACTGGTTTCTCAGGAAGATTCCAATTCCAGGAACAGTGATTACCAAAGTGCAAATACAGAGAAGCCACACTTGAACACTTGTCCTTGCTCACATCCCTGTTTTTGTAAAGGTATGTCCTGTCAGGGGTTATTTAGCTCAGTGTTTTACTAGATTATAAGACTTGTAATTAAAAAAGACAGGTGTTCCTGCTGAAATACTTAGTTAAGGTAAATTCTCTTTCTCATTTATAAAAAGTCACCCTGGAATGATTCAGGTTTGAGTTTGCTGAAGCACAAGACTGTTCACAAGAGAAGGGCTGATTTGTAACTAAAGCTTACTCAAAACAGCCGTCTGTCTTTCAAGGCCTATTCCCACACTCACTTTCAATTATTTTCAAAAAATTTCTTCAGTGATTAATACTGAAGTCCAATTCCCCCAAATAAATTGGGCTATATACAGTTTCACATACCAAGTCTTCCAGGATTGCAAGCTGTATCATCTTCTTTTCAGTGCTTATACGCTCATTTTCAGTGAGTGTGTAGTTAGTGGCACTCTTCAGCCTGTAACATCCTATATTCTCCCGTGCTTCTTTGATCTCCTCAGCATCTTTGGAATTCTCATGGTTATGTCTGGGTTTGCTCTTGTATCTGGTAGGTACAAAAAAAACCTGAACTTCAAGACAGAAAGCACACAGTCTTGTATGAACAAACAGTCATTTCATACCCTCTTACTTGTGCAGCAAAGTTTGGGAGGTGAAAGAGTGATACATCTCTTTCAGAAAAGAATGGCTACTTTGGAAAGAATATCCTTGCACACTTAAATGAAAATCCCAGAGTTTTTTTCCGCCTAAGAACTCTTAAAACAGCTCTGCCGTGGGAAAGCTTAAACCTTCACACTCAGACTGAGTTCTGGATTAAGTGAGTACATGCTGCTATCAATTTCAGGGAGCCGCACATCAACAATCTACCACTCTGTAGCACAGAATACTTGATCCTACTCTACATTGTTAAACACTCAATAACCTTAAAAGCTTTATATTCTGACTCTACATTGGTCCTATTCCCTGCCATTCATCTCCTAAGGAAGAGAGTACTCATCAGTACTTCCATGAGCATGGAGTGGTTTGGGTTATAAGGGATCTTAAAGATCATGTCATTCCAGTGCCCCTGACATGGACAGGACCTTCCACTAGACCAGGTCACTCAAAGCCCCATCTAACCCAGCTGTGAAAAAGTGGTCATTCAAAGATATGACTTAGGTTAGATATTTGGAAAAGGTTCTTCCCCCAGAGGGTGGCTGGGTACTGGAACAGGCTCCCCAGGGAAGTGGTCACAGCACCAAACCTGACAGACTTCAAGGAGTGTTTGGACCATGCTCTCAGGCACAGGGTGTGACTCTTGAGGCTGCCACGTGCAAGGACAGGAACTGGATTTTGATGGTCCTTGTGGGTCCTTTGATGGTCCCTTCGAACCCAGGATATTCTATGATTCTGCAAAAGATGTCCTGTCCCCCTTTCTTGCTGCTCAAGATAAAGACTACCATGGAGCATGAGGGCATATCACAAACACTTACCCAGCTCTTACAGTGTCTGCTCCATGTGGGGCTGGAAGGATTCACTTTGAGTTGACTGTAATGGCATCTCTCAATCATGATCTATTTAGACACATTTTACTCCCCATCTGAAAATGCAGCTACCAAGCTAAATTCAAATTTGATAATATTTTACAGGAACCATAGAAACTAAATATATTCTAATGCTCTCTTGAGAATTGGAGATACATGAAAATTCATCTGTTTTAATTACAACCCTTAGGAATATAGAAACCTAAGCAGGGAGATAATAGCGCCAAATGACAGCTAAATGGCATTACTTGACCTCAAATAAGAAGCAGAACTAAAAAGGAACAGAGTCCAGTTTAAGACTCACAATTCATGCCACTCTGCCCTTCTCTTCATGATCTTGGCTTTCAGTGCATCATATTTCTCAACAAGTCTTTTGATTTTCTGACGTCTGCTTTCTATATAGCGCGTGGTTGGCTTCCGGATCTCTGGTGTCTTCAGCCTTTCAGCCTCCTTCTCAAAAGCTACACTTCCTGAAACAAAATATAACCATGTGAAGATGTAATACCATGCAGCACAGCACAGTCCTAGCTACTGGAAACTCCCTCAGACAACTCCTGTAGAACAGATGTGAATTAGGATAGTTCCATTGTAGTGGATGTTTTGAAAGTATTCAGGTTCCTTGACTTGACTTTTAGTCACATTCTACCCATGGGGCTGACAGACAATTGCTGACATTGATCTAAACATGGAAAACTATGTATGAGTGTTACTTTGTATGTAGGTACTAAAAAAACACATTACAGCTATATTTCTTTACTGCACTTACACGTGTATTTCTTTATCTTGGACCCAGGAACACAAACTGAGATGAAAGACAGAAACCATATTACTGAAAGATTTAAATGGTTATCATTACCTCTATGCACAGGGCTTATCTCTCTGAGGATCTCCTCTTCTGTTTGTTCTGCCTCTTTAAGTGCTGTCCACTTCTCTTTAAGTACTGCCCACTTGCTGTCCACATGTTTCTTATCTGGGGCATATTTCTCAGACACTGTTAGAAGGCTGTAGGTCGAAATCTGATGATTGCTTTGAATAGCATGCACAGTGAGAGTCAATTCCAGAGAGTCCCGAAACCTGGGATCCCAAATTAGACAAAACTGTCTGATGTCAGTGGGCACAACATACCATTTCACCTTAACCAAAAGAGCATGGATAGTGTAGTTCTCTTATTGCACATACAATCCTTACATATAAATCCACAAGTCAGTAAGTAATTGCATAGCATGATGACATCTGACACTACCTATTGACTTTTATGCAATCTAAGAATGGAGACGATCAAGAATAAACACATGAAGACTTTTCCCAATATAAAAACTTATACCAGGTTCTTCATGACAGTAAATTTCATCTTCTGTTAAGGACTTATCAAAAACATGCTCAGTCTATCTTTTTTCCCAGTCACATACTCTGTGTGCCTAAGGTGGTTTTTTACTTGTATATTTATTTTATTAATTCATCTTTTTCTCTTACCTAGATCTATGAAAACCAACTCAAAATGCACCTCATGCTTAAACTTGTGTTCTTGAGAAAGTTTGTTTTGTAACTTCAAATTGTATAGAGAACATTGTGTTAGCAATGACATTAAAATACCTGACAGATACACAACACGTCTTAAAAACAGGCATTCGTTTCCCAGGTTGTTTTTCAATATTTCAGTAAGAGTTCTTGGTTCTTATTGAACGTACTGGCAAACCCAGGCAAACAGTCTCAACCAGCTTTCTTAATACAGAAGTGAATCCAAATGAAGTAATTTCCTTCATTTGATTATCTGCATTTTCACCAAAGATTCAACAGAAGTAATTACACATAAATATGAACATATACTCCTGTGTATGTTCCAAGAATAAATAAGATTCTTAAATAAGAACAGAATCATAACGGAACAGATGAAATACTGATTATATGAGAGAGATTTAAAAAATCTCATTCATTTTTCTTGTGGGAGGTACAACTTCATAGACAATAAGCCCCATGGAAGGTCAGGGAGAGAAGTAGCAGAAAAGTGGTAATTACTGTGCTTGTAGTTTCTGCAGTCCAATGAATTGTTTCTCGTGCTCCCAAGCCAGCTGCTTTTGCACTAAATGGATTCTTTGTAGTGTCTGCCTATCCAGCTCTTCAAAGATCCTACGGTCCATCTCAAACTCCTGCAGGAAGACAGAAAACCCAACATCACATTATCTTGGCTACTAGGTCTTCATAATAAATACTTTTACCCTAGGTGCCTTAGTTGCATGCACATCAACAGTACCCTTTATTTCAGAAGCTATCTCCACAGAGAACGACATTTTTTTCCTGTGCTTCTTAATTGGCACAAATAATCAGCTGTGATTCAAAAGTCCAGCAATTTATATATTCTTAAAACTACCTTAATCCAAAGCATTGGACATCTTGGGTCCCAACATGATATGTAGCAATATTTTAGAAGAAGGTGCCTGTAAATGTAAAGGACCCCAATAAAAGCCAGGTGTACCTCTCTGTGCAACTGCATGTGCTTGGGCAACTCCTGATTCTTTTGAAGGAGAAAAACAAAGTCTTGTCTCAGTGCACTTAACTTCTCTCTTTTCCTATTTTTCTTTTCTTCAGCTTCCTTCATTTTCTGTTCATGCTCCTTTTTCTGCTTGTATTCCTCAATACTGAAGATGCATAAAAAGGAGATTATGTTGTTTCAATGCAAGAGTGGAAATTTTACAGTTTATATGACCTTTTAGATTTCCTTGACAGTCTTAAATTCCCAGTGAACTCAACGGTTGTTAAGGTAACTTAAAAAGGAATAATCTTCCTCTATATTTGTACACTCTTAATATCAAGGGGCTTTGACCTTTTGCTGTCTCTGTAGTCTGAAGTTAACTGCCTCATAGTAGATATTTGAATTACTTCCAGAGAAAAATAGATGAAATGGAGAGAAAGGCTGAAAAAAGTGTGTTTCACAAATAAATGAAAATTCAGGGTGATCAACTTGTCCCTCCTCTTTGTAGGCAAAAAGAAAGACACATGAAAAGAGTTACCAACACTTGAAAATCCCTTTCATCAATATCTAAGCATCTCTTACGTGTAGGCATCAGGATCCGTAATGTCTTCAGTAGCCTTTTCCTTCTCAAGACCTCTCTGGAATAAAGCATTGTCTTGTCTTTAAACAAGCAGTTATAGTTTCAACAGACAGTAAAGCTTTTATAAACATAAAGACAGAGCTCTCACCACCTCTCACAAAAACAAAAGAAATATTCATTTTCAATATTACTATCTGGCCTTAAATATTATGTTGTAATGTTTCAAGCTGAAAAAGAAATGAAGTTTGTTTATATGTAAAAGAATTAATGAAATATTAGGGACAGAGAACACAAATCCTATAACCTCCCCAGCGGCATAAATTGTTACATCATTGCTTGTCCTAAGTTCACTCTGTCCCATAACAGAGTTCACTCTGTCCCATAACAAGGTCCTCTACCCCCCGGCCCAATTCTCGTCTCCCCTCACATTGACAAGAGTCAGTGTCATGGGCTAATTCCAAGTTACATCTGTAATTAGTCTGGTTGGCTTTTGCTGACTGCATAATGGAGTCACAATTATTAGCTGTGAAGAATGACAGATGGATGGACATTGCAGTGGCACAAGCCTCATTTCCCCAGGCAATCATGCTCTGAAAAAAGAGGGGGGACTATCACCCAACAATTTAGTTGTACTTAATTGATCTGTAATTTAACTCAATTAGTTTCAGATGATTTGTATTTAATTCTCTAAGAATCTCATGAAGTTTAATGAAGATAGAATTTTTTTAATCTTCCACATGACTTAAAACTAGAATAGATACTTAATGAAGATATACTTCGAAAAGGGAAAAACTCTATTAGAATGGTCATTAAGAAATGTTGTTAGCCTGAACAATAGAACTGACCATAAAAGTCTTTATATAGAACCACTTACATATTTAAAATGATAAATCTGTACATATGCTTTTAATGGTATATTAATAACTTCTTGTAATACTGGAGTTAGTAAGGCTCTGATATCAAAGGCTCTAATCATTCACTTCTAGAAAATCATTCTGGCTCTATTGTCAGTGCTATATATTCTTGTCATACTGGTAAAGAATGCCAACTACTCATGAACAATTTAGCTGAATGACCAAAATCACAGTTTCCTCTGTCTCTGTTGCCAACCATCCTTCAAAATGTAGTTACTAACCAGCATTAAAACATATTTTAAAGTTTAATTTGTTAATTAAACTTTAAAGTTAAAGTTTAATTACATTCAATAGAATTTAAAAATCTTGAAATCTTTCAAGATTTTTAAATTCTATTGAATGTATACCTACTGTAATATTTATTGTGCATGATGGCACTTCTTTACGCAACAGCTCTCACTGCTTCTTTCAAGATATATTTATTTAATTCAGACACTCTTAAGACTTTTTAAAAATTCAACAAAGTCTGAACATTTTAGTTGGCATCCCTCTTCTTGTGCATTATCAGTAGAACTGCTTCTGAGTTCCCATGTCATCTGTTTAAACATGCTAGAGATGATCAGCTCTGCAGTGAGTACAGGACACCTGTAAATTCATTACTACTAATGCTGCCCAAGAGCAACAGGATCAGCATTGTGTTGTGCTATTTTGCAAATGTAAAAAACCCATTGTGAATTTTAGATAAATGGTACTAGATGTATAAAGAAACTACATATTTGGTACTCTCCAATAGTATTTCTAGAATCCCCATCAAGAGCAGAATCATATTTTACAGGAATTAAACCGAAGAAAGGTAAGAAATATGACAAATCTTTGCAATTCTTTAATTCCAGGAATATGTATGACTACACATTTGAGTGGGAAAGCACTGGCAGAATATTACATATGAATAACACATACTATGTTCATTTGGAGAAAAACATAAAACACTGAGAAGCAAGAGTGCAGTCACAGAGCTCATTTATTAGGGAACGTTTTGCAAGAGCTCTACTTCTAAATAGTTTGGGAAACTTCAGCTTTTGCTGTGAAAGATCTTTAAGAAAAATAATTGAACCATGTTTGTCCATCAGGACAGTTTCATAGCAAATAGGCCTAATTCAGTGAAAGAGGGTACCAACTTACCCTAGGAGGAGGGATTCTGACTTTTAGCTCTTTGGGAAGCTCTTCCTCTGACATGAGGTCAAATGTAAAAATGTTTCCATCTCCACCACAGGTAATCAGACACCTATCATCATGACTGCAACACATCCCCCGGATCTGCCCATTATCATTGTCATGCACATTCAGGTACCAGTAGTCCTTCAGGGCACCCACTGAGAGGCCTTTCTCACTGAGAGGATAAGCACGAAGTGAGCCATCCTGCATCCCACAGAACATCAGGGACATGCGGGTACTGTTAAATAAAGAAGAAAGAGTAAGAGCAGCAAGTTCAAACAACTTCTAACAAGCAAGTTCAAAATAGGAAAAGAGCTGATCTAGCTTAATAGAAATCACTTTCCCAAGTTTGGAAGCTGAAAGCAAAGTATTTGGAGCATTTCAAGTATGTGTGATTCTACTATGAAGTGTTTTGCAGTTAACTGGCTGCTCATTCCAGCACTTGCTAGGTATCTTAGAACTAGTCTTAGCCCTGAGCTGGGCAGTGTAGCAGACACCAAGTCAAAAGCTAGAAAAGCAGTTTTTAGCCCCTGCTCCCCATTTAATACAGGTGGCGATGAATGCCGCCAGCAGTAGATTAAAGCCTGAATTAAACCTGCCTCCTTTTGATGCAGAACATGCCTATCTTACAGGGAACCTAATACTGGGAGTCTGAAATGAATCCAGCCTTTCTATTCGTACAGTTCACAGAATGTCCTGAGAAGCCCATATTCTTAGCACTAGAGGGATGGATTGACTGCTCCATGTTCTATTCTCTTTGTTAACTATGATAAAGGACTGCTGTTCTGGTGATCACTAAATGCAGGGACTTCTAACGGTTCTCCTGGAGTTGTACAGTCTAGGGTGGTTGAGTTCTAGTCAGCACTTACTTAGAAATCACACTTTTTCATCTTTGAAGGTCTTTTAAAATTATTCTATCAGACACATGGCTCAGCTATGTCCATTAGGAATTTTAAGTGAAACTCAGTGCCAGGAAAACCAGAGAGAGTTATATACTAGAGCTGAGCCACAATGGAAAAGGGACAAAGGAGCATTCCTCCCTTCCAAGTTCAATTTCATCAAGCTTTATCCCAGAGCTATTTGTTACATTACAGTGTTTTACCAGAAGGAGATTTGGTGAATGGGATTGTTGTCAGTGTCCTGCATAGGAATCACTTCAAAGGGTTCATCTTTCCTCTTCTCAGGGTCTTCTTTTTCACCATGTGAGAATTCGCAATGATAGAGAAACCCTGAGTCATACCCACCCTGAAGAAGAGAAGGACCATAAGGAAATGGTGAAGCAACTGACCAGGAAAATGCAAATTTCAGAATAATTCTTCCTTTCTTAAGAATCTGTGATATGTTAGAAAATGCTACTTCCAAACACCTAGAGATCCTATTTATCCACAGACAGAAGTCTGTCATGATCTCTGGCATTAAAAGCCATTCAACCACTATGTTAAAATCCTATCTTCTGCTTGTGAGGGAACAGCTCAGTCTTTGTGCCCATTCGGGCACCACCAAGAAGGGCACCTACTGGATATCTACCAAACAATCTGAATCAGAGTGACACCACTGGTATACTTCACAAAAACCACTGAAACTGTCAAGGATGAAAGGAATTGGATGTTCTAGGGATGACAGGTTTCAAAGGGAAAGGATGTCACATCATGCAATCCCATCAACACGTAGTAAAAATTGATTTACCAAAGAAAGCCAAAATTTTCCTGGTGCTGAATAAAAGCCACAGAGGATGGGACTGGGCTCTTCTGGTATGTAAATAGATGGCAATGGCTCTTCTTCAGGTTCTTCCTCTTTAGTTTCTTCTACCTCAAGTCCCAGCTCCTTTTGCTGGTTTATCCATTCAAGCCTTGCCTTCTCCTTCTCTTCCTTTTCTTTCTCTCTCCGTGCAATCTCCTCTTTCAGCTATTACAATGAGCAGAGAAACACCGAGACATGAAACCAAGGCACTCCACACATCACTGGCTGAACGAGTCTCATAAATTAAATCCAAGGTGGTCCTGGCACTATACATACAGAATATCTACAGAAATCTCTTTCCTGTCAACCTAGCAGAGATAACCAGATTTCATGGGACTCTCCAGTGAAATTTCCCCCTCCTCTGAAGTATTTACTCTTGGTCCTTTGAAACAGAAATAATTCTGAATTACAAGCAGATTTCAACATTTCCTCAGAGGGATTATTCCAAATCTTCACCACTAAGCTTACTCCTGCAGAAATCCTAAGTCCTGTCCCCTGCCTGCCCTGGTGAAAGAAAATAACTGAAAACTCAAATAAGTTCTAGTGCATCATTGGTATAGAGCAAAAGAGAGAAGCTGTAACTGACTTAACTTCTGAACAATGAAGGAAAGATTTATCAAACCTTTAAAATTCTCTTCCATTCAAGCCTACTATAGCATAAACAAATATGAAACATTCTCTAAAACAGTAGCTTCCTAAGAAGATATTAGATAGCCGAACAGCAAGCCCTTAAATATTATCAGCTGATCTTTGTCTGCCATACCTTTTAAAAAATCTCCTGTTCTAGGGACTCTACAGACTATAAAAATTACTTTTTTTTTATCACCACCCTTACTGTGAGAAATCTTTCCTTGCATTAGAACATCCTTTTTGTAACTTGTTAATTATTTATCTAATTCCAAAGTAAAAAGAGAGCCATTCTTTCTCTCTGTAGAAACATTTTTTATTTTTAGTGATTGCTTCTCAACATTATTCTTCTCATTTGACTAAAAAAACCCAAAAAAATACCAACCAAAAAACAAACAAAAAAAACCCCAAAAAAACTCTGATGACAAAGCATGCATATGAAAGATTAAAATAATGTGTGTATTCTTATAGATACTGCTGTGAAAAAACATCTAGAGTCTTTCTCCTGAATGCTGACTTCCTCCAAGTTATAACATGAAATGAAGCTTTGTCAACGTGCAATAATACAGGAGCAGTTAACAGAGAAGGCAGAGAAATCACAGGTTAACAACAGTATTAGAGACACTCTTGGATTGTATTGGATTGAGCATGGAACTGAGAGCCTGCTCACTGGAGTTCTTCTTCTGAGCCTAACATCAGCTTGCTTTTTAGTTTCACAAAACTGACTGTAGCTGTGAGTTGGTATAACTATTTCTCTTTGGCCCCACATATTCTTTTTAAATACTAAGTGCCATTCAGAAATAAAATGCACACCTTTAAACTTAAAAGATTTTTTAAAAGCCAGAAACACTGCTGAAAAAAAGAGATGTTTCATAACTGTTGAAAGAAATTTCCTGTAGGGTGACTATCAATCACAAGAAATAGTCTTTTTGTGAAAATTACCAAAATTAAAATGTTTTGAGAACTAATCAACTACGTTTCCCTTTCTCTAATGCTGTCTTCTAATTATAAACAAAATTCACATCATGCTTTCAGTGTCATTGAATAAACCAAAAACAATTTGTAATTTCAAGCCACAAATGGCTTCTACCTACCATTCCCTTTCAAGGAGCTAAGCAAAAATCCTGTGATGAAATACAGGGACTAGAAACTCTTCTGTGTAGTTTGATCACCTGGCACAATGAAGAAGATGAAATTCTGCCACAGCAGAGTTTTTTACCTTGATTTGGGATTTAATACTATAAAAATGGAAGTACTGTGTTGGCAGGTTTTTTATGTGATAGGTGGTCACTTTATCCTGCTTCCTACGGAGAGGGGCAAGAACCTGGACAGCAAAGCCATTCTCACAAAGGATGAGCACCGTGCTCTTGTCCTGTATAAAAACACAAATAATGGGGAAGATGTATAAATGGAATTGAGACAAATGGGAGGAAAAGTTGGTTAGGCAGAGGCACAGGCATAAAGCCACTCATTCACCTGTGCTCTTATTTCTATGTACACTTTTAAATTGGACATCAGAAATCAGTGAGCTTCTTTTATGCTAGGCAAAGCTAAGGAATTGAAGAAATCCTTGCTGTGTCCAAACCAGCTATAATTCTGACACTGCTTAGCTTGAAAGCAGCATATTTTGGAAATTTGGTTAAATTAAAAGATGGATTTGACCCAGGACTTAGTAGGTTTTCGGTTGATAATTTCATATATTTCTGTACTAATACAGACTTGGCTCAAAGTCTTGCCAAATGCTACTTACCTTTCAGTTTGTTTAATTTTTGTTGGCACCTCACAAGTCCTTTAAAACGTGAAGTTAGGAAGAATAGGTGAGGTTAAGGTAATAATTATTCAGTGTTTTGAGTTTTTAAAAGACAAGTCTGTATTTAATTTCAGTTTTCATAAGCTATCTGGAGAAAAGAGAGAGAGGCCTATTTTATCTGACCCATCACTAAAAATGTGCAAAGAGGGCATTTTAGAGTTGCTATGGAAACCCTGACTAGGAATGATATGGTTCCTGTGTCTATAGGATCTCAGTTTAAAAATGCAGTCATTAAATGGAATGTATTTAATCAGCAGTGCTTCTTTAAAACAAATTACAAAAAATAATAGAGTGACATTCCAATGCTGGCACTGTGTTAAGCAAGTGTTCTTATCTAGCAATGGAGGCCAGATACTGGTAGAGAAAATTACTCAGGCAGAATCTATCATATCCAAGACACAATGGGTGCTTTTTTCAGTAAGGAGGAGTACCTTGTCTTCAAGGAAAGGACTCAAAATGTAACTGTCAGATCAAGATCGACTGTTTTCGCAGTAAGATAGAATTCATAACAAGACGTCTTTTGCCAGCTTTTAGGAGTGGAGATACCAACACTTTGCCACTATGCACCTGTAAAATATATCTTGCTAGCATCTAAATATAATGAATGGTCTCTCCTCTAAATAAGGATACTGAACGAAATAAAATTTCAAATGTTATCCTAACTCTAGAAAACTTTTAGATATTAGCGAAAACCTAAGTTGATATGTCCTGACATATTTCAAACACAGAATGTGAATTTCAAGAAGCACCCAAAATCTTTTTTAATGTGGTCAAAAATCTTTTTAAAACTCTGTTTTAATAGGGGCAAGAGTCACAGACAGTAACGCTCAAATAACTTCTTTGTCAAAGAAAATCAGTTCTTCCAAAAGCTAAAGAATAAGATTGTTTCTTCAAGTCAAGGGCTCAAAAAGCATACCAAAATCTTGTAGTTTGCATTATCCAAAGCCCAAAATATGTCCATAGTGACTGAACCAGAGATTCAGCTACACAGAACCTTTCAGAATCTGTCATGCTAAAGCAGCATGAAGAACAACGTAGCAAAACATTATTTGTATTGTCTATAGAGAACATGACTAGAGTCATGGATCTTCATCTATTTTGATTGGAAATTCTTTTTTAAATTATATGTTAACCCTGCTGGGAAGGAAAGAAAAAAAAATATGCATTACTCACATAAGAAGGTGGAGACCACTGTAATGCCTGTACAGGCCCAGGGACACAGATGAATCCAATAGGCTTGTATTCATCCTCAATAACAAAAAAGAAAACTGTTTTGTCTTTACTCTGAGGAAAAACAAAGAAAGATGATGACTGAATCAAAGCTGATCAAAAATTCAAAAGACTCTAAGCACTTTATGACACAGGTACATATTTCCATTTTTTTGTGTTTAAACAGGGGAACTTAGGACTGGATTTCCATGACAATTACTGGGAGATAATAAAAATCCTGTCCATACTGTTCCAAGAAACATATTGCACCCATAGCTCTTAACTGCTCTCATGGGCCTCCTTTGGCATCACCTGCCATATGCTTTCTGCCAACTTCCTAGGAGCTCCTTTATATCTCAAGATCAGGCCTGATTTTTAGACAAGGCAGCACAAGTTGATTTCCCCAGATAACAAGAAGTTCCAGAACTGAACATGATTCATGTTCAACAACATGATTCATTGTAGCTTAAATCCTACATTAAATGAAATGCATGGCAATTCAGCCTAAGGAACACGTAACTGCAAATGCACTGATCACAGCTAAGAACTAGCTTTTAAAGAGACACCATATTAACTGGAAACTCAAAGACTACCAGGCATAATGACTGACGGACCAACCCTGTGGTAAGGCCAAGCAGTGCTGGGTAGCAGCTGGATTGCTGCCAATGTGGTGTACCAAGGGCCTTGATTTTACTAATTCCAAGATCCTACTAAACTAATTCCAAAAGGAACCAAATCCATCTTCAAAGGGAATTACAGAATTCACAGTAAACAGTCCAGTAATTCACAAAATGAATTGTGTGAATTGCATGGCTGCTTTCCTTTAGAAAAACAGATGTGAATGCAAACAGATCCTTCTCCCTGCACAGAGAACTACAACAAGCAATCAGCAGCAACAGAAGTAAAACTGTGTTGTCAGTAAACAAACTTTACCTTATCTCTTTTAAAAGGCTCTACATTTGTGGCTTAATAAAACCAACCAAACTAAATTATACATACCCCTGTGGCAAACACATTTCCCTTTTGTTTATATGCCAGGGCCGTGACTGCAGCACCATGAGGTTTGAAAACTTGTTTCAGATTTATCTCTGCAATCTCATTGGCATGTCCTGCATGACCGGGCAGCAGTTTGGGATCATAAACCTCAATTATGCGGACAACACCATCTTCAAATCCCACGGCAATTAGACCTCCTTCAGGATTTACCTTTAAATGAAATAAAGAAAAAAAAAATCACAGTGTACATCTGAGAGCTCCAAAGAATAATCCATATGGCACATGCTCTGGTGTTTACCTTTAAACTCACCTTAGGTGGAAGTGTTGCTAAAGCACAAAGAATATTTCATACATGGGAAATGTTGTTTATTCTCTCTAATATGGTACCACAAAAGAAGATAGAGGACTGGGGCCTATTTTTTGGTTTGGATTGTGTTTTGGTTTTTTTTGTGATAACATGGCACTAAAACTGAAGATGTTAATGAGGATGTGGTTGTAATGTCTGAGGAAGACGTAATTCATACTGACATAAAGATATATCACCTTCTTAAGAAGAAGAGCTGAAACTCAAAAAAAGAAAGAATTCTATTTTCCTGAATATAATATGGGGCACGAAACCTAAGTATGATTTTTTAAGAGGTCAGGGCACAGGCTTGTGTCTGGCTGAGTCCGTAGAAAGTACAGCAGTCACCAGGGAATGCCACTTGAGATGGAAAGGAGGAGGAGTCTTTACCATAAGACCTGTAGGTAAGCCAATTGCTAACACTAAAGAGAGGCTTGAACTGTGATAAAGCTTAGCAGAAACAGGCCTGTGTTTTAGCTGGATTGTGCTGGACTTGTGGATTTAGCTGATATTTGCCATACATGGTAATGTCTTGAAGTCAATTTACGAGCTGATTTGTTGGTGTTCACTTACCTAACAAAGACACTTGCCTATGGAGAGATTATGGTATACAGATGCTTCAAAGTATGTTGCACTAAATTTTCTTAGGTTAATAGCACAGATTTTAAAATACATTTGCACACTTTAAACTGTGACCAAGTACCTAATGCAATTTTAAATGCAGCTGAATAGACTAAGTGCCCTCTGTTTTTCAGATTGTGTTTAGCAATAACTTTCATAAAACTGAACTGAGTCAGTTTTGTGATGCTGTACAATTTATTGTGGCAGACAGCTTTCATCATGAAGGTACAGGTAACGCTTAACAACAACTCTGAAAGCCTGCATGGCCAGAATTATACTTTTATAAAATAATTATTTTTATAAAATAAAGGTACTCTCCCAGTGGAACCCTCACCTTGAACATTCAAGTAATTATTTGCCTCCTAAATTTGCTTGCAATTAACCCACCAGGCATGCTACGTTTTCTCAAGAAGATAACTAGACACTGCTTTAATTAAAATTAGCAAATATGTCTGAAAGTGATATATTCCACACTCCACAAATGATCAGTTCTGGCAACAGTTTTTAATGATTTATCTCAAAATGTTTGTGATTTGTCTGGGCTGTCATTTCAAAATGTGTTAACTAACTCATGTTAACTGACATTTGCTCTGCGTGGGTTAAATAGAAGCTGTTAGTCTACAAACTCAGACTACTTCCCATACGGCACACAGAGATCTGATTTTAAAATCTTAGGAAGGCACAAAGTAGGATACCTGATAACCTATAGTAAAGTTAAACTGTTCCCATACTGTGTACTAACATACTACCCCAAACATACTACCACAAACTTATCCATACATCCTGCTACAGTGAATTACACCACGGCCTAACAAGTGACCTCTAATGTCTTGTTTGCTGAGCACCTTCCTGGATGCTGGCAGGCTCATAGGCTCCTTGATGAATTTTTGCTAACATGCTAGGAAAAAACTCACAACAGCAGGTGCCCATGCCAGTGCTGTTCCTCCCTGTTTAAACTTGATTACACTCAGTTGGCTGTTGCTGCTGAAATCATAGATGCGCACTGACCCTGTGTGGAAAGGAGACAGTAAGGATTTATTTCTTGCAATGTCACTTACACGTTAGGATTTTTGGAGAAATGTCTATTTATTTTAATTAAAATCTGGATTAAATGTATGTTTTCTCTTTTGAGTAACAAAATGCCTGCATGAAAGATGACTGATGGTTACAGAGCACCATAGCTAACATGGCGTTCATGAACAAAATATATGATTTCTTCACTCTTCAACTTATACAGAACCAAGAGTTGTCGAAGCTGATGGTTGTAATAAGAAGTCCCAGGCTGACAATCTACACATAATTTTCAAGCAAGCACAGAATTGTGGCCTACTCTATGGAAAATCTGTACTGACAACATAGGAAAAGATGACAGGCTACTACTTGGGACTGCCTAGGGAGGAAAACATTTAAAGGAGATTGTCCACAATAGATTCAATTTCATTAGAGGGAAAATTAACAGATTCATAGGCACACATACTGATTGCATAAAATTCCATTCCAGCTAGCGTTTATGTGAAATGTTGTTTGCTCAACTGGTAGGAGTCAGTCTTCAGGCTAGAAGAATATGTGCATTTTATAACACAGACAAATTACAAGACAGTACTGTCTGTGTAAAAAAACCCTTGCAGTGTTTTCTGAACAGTGCAAATGACATTGTTAGTGTTTTGGCCAGTAGTTCTTCTTTCAAAGCACCATAAAGCTAACACTGAGAGGCTTAAACAGCAACATTTAGACAAGTTAAATGAATATGTCTGTAATTGCTTGTTATCTGTTGATGAAAGTATAATAGCTATTGCATTTTCTAAGAAAGGCAAAACCATTAATATTTGCAGTGGCTTACACAATGCTGGAGGTGTATGTAATTCCTTACAAGATAAAAATCCCAACACTTTTTAAATCCCAACACTGAATATAAGTGCCATTACTCAAACCAGATGTCTCACTTTTCCAGCCATTCCTTCAGAACAAACAATTTATGAGGTTTCCCATTAAAAACTTCTGTTGTTAAAATGCCAGGATTTTAGGATGAAGCAGTCCTAATGCATTGTTTCAAAACATTCATGATTTACCTTAACTATTAAAGAGCTGATCCCAGGAACAACAGTGACTTTGCAAGAGCAAACGCACAAATACAAAACACAGTAGCTCCAAAGCAAGCATCATTGCCCTTCAAAACCCATAATGGCAGTGTCATGAGAGGAAAGAACAGTGCACTTACGGTCAAGAGCTGTGGTGGCCATCAGGCATGTAAAGGGAGAGACACCAATGGCCTCAATCCCCCCAGAATGAAAGGTACACATGCGCTCTGGGTCGTGGCTCTGCAGTGCAAAACAGAAGAGAAATTATTTTACACTCGTGCTCTCCAGTTTGAGCTTATGCTGCCTGGGAAATAATTTCATCATCCACAGAATTACAGACTTTGCAACAATTTTTTTTTAACATTAGTTTGTATAGTATGTGTCTTTTATTTACCATAAAATTCTTGGAACATATTTTACTTTTCACATTAGAATTCTATTCCCCACAAGGTATTGTTCCTATTTACTTTATGTTCCAGAGCAAAAATTAAAAGCCCACTTTTTCACCTCTGTCATCTATTTCTCCATCAAAAACATCTCCAGCAGTAACACTAGTTACCAGTAGGATAAAACACTTCAAGTGTGTTTCATCTTCTTATTATTTTTTCTAGTTCTTTCTGTCATTGATTAGTTCAAACAAGGATTAGTTCAAACACCTATCTATAGAGGAAATAACAACACTCTTTGAACTCATTTCCTGCATCCATGCAACTTTCATTACCAGTTTACAGAATCAAACTCCTTTAAAGTAACTTGAATTTGGCAGCTGAAATTTCAGGAATCAAAAATCAAATTCCTCTTTACCATCCTGCAAAATCATTACAATCAATTTAATTTGAAAATTTTTATGAAATAAAATATTTGTTTCAATGCTATAATTTTCTACTGTGCAACTTCATAAAACACAAATTTCATTTCAGATGGAACCAATATAGTTACAGGATGTCATAGGATATGGTTCCTATTGCAAATGAGCTGAAGAAATCAGAAGAAAGAAAAAACAAAATTACCATATTTGAAAAAGTCAAATCCAGCTTCCATATTGCTCCACTTGTATCCTGAAGAAGAAAAAACATTAATTGAATATTTTCAGACTCGATTTGGAAATAAAACTGTACATGGTGACTTCTTAAAAAGTCCTTAATGATTATCATTGCAAAACAAAAATTACTAAATGCAATTATATTCGTCTTATGAATCCCATTCATCACTTTAAGGTAATAGAACTTGGACAATACCTTTTGGCATTCTCTTATTCTTATGCCAGAGTCTCACACATTACTGTACACTAAAAACACAGCACAGCATAACATAGCATAATTCAGTTGGAAGGGACCTGCAAGGACCACCTTGTCCAACTGCCCGCTCACTTCAGGCCTGACCAAAACTTAAAAGTAAATCTTTAGACACCTCTATATATGCCTCTTAAACATTGACAGGCTTGGAACTTAAACCACCTCTCTAGGAAGCCTGTTTCAGTGTTTAAAAAAAACCAACAAAACTGTAGGCAGGTAGGTAGGTAGATAAGAAGATTATTTTCTATATATCTAGAATACTGAATTCTACTAAAAAGAAACACTCTCATTTGTAATAGACTACTGCTGTTCCTCATTACCAGCATGTTCCTCATTTTGTTTTTCTCCATAAGGATGCATGTACCTGAGTGTGTCTTACCTGAGCAAACCAGAAGGACTGTCCATGGTCATGAATTTTTGTAATGAAATTCAGGCTGACATTCTTGCCAAGCCAAAGTTCATTCATAGGCTCCATCTCCACTAACCCTGTGTCATCCACAGGATCAGCAGTATCTACTACCTCAAAGTTCCACATCTTCATGGCATTGGAATCATTAAAGAAAAAAAAAGCTTTTTATATAAAACCAGGTTGTTTTCATACAAAATAAACATGGAAAATCAAAATCTTAAGAAAGCAAAATCACTGCTTTGAACATAACCTAGAACAGTGACTGGAGCTTCAATTCAGCCCTGACACTAGCTGAGCTGTACATAGCAGCTTCAGAACTATGCAGAATAAATGGTATCTGTGGGCAGTCAGCATGGCTCATACTGAGGCAGCACAAAATAATGGGAAGTCTAACCCTTCCATGTCCTGCTCTGTAGGATAAGGACAACATATCAGTTAGCATGCTCATAATCAAGTGAATTTTCCTAAGGGGAAACACCAACCTATAAAACACAACAACAGTGCTTGAAACCCTCCACTGTCTATAGGTCAGTATGCCATTGATTATCTGGGTCATTCCACACATCAGCAGAAGACACATCATGTCCTCCCTTAAAGAGCAGGCAAATAAGACTGCTAAATTCTTGATCATTTACAGGGAGATCAGAAAGTGGTGTTATGCATAAGGAAAACATTTTGACCTTAATTTATAGAATTATTTGCTAACTTCGGGATGCTTTTTCTTTAATTTTCCCCATTTTAGGATATGTATCTCTGAGATGCTAGTTAATTTCTATGTTATTTTAACATTAATAATCTGAGCTTTTAAACACTCAGAAAATTAATTTCAAATATTCCTGTAGTTTGCTTTTAATCTTTTAGATAACACCACCTGTTAATAGGCCTGGAAATTATAAAATGTTAGAATGTAGTCAGGAACAAAACTGTTAGAAAACCACTGAAGATAGTTTTGATTTACTAAAGTAAAAGCTGATTTATTCATTCCTATTGAAGAAGGAAAACTGCATGCCATGCTATCCAATTCAAACACATACACTGTTCAGATGTACTCCTATTTTCTTTGTTCTACCAAATAATTTTCAGAAAGAAACTATCCTCCAAAAACCTGGTAAAGGAAATACATAATATTTACCTGCTGACCACACATTTTCACACCCAAAGGCAGAGCAAAAGAAAAACTCACCCGAATGACACCATCTTTTCCAACAGAGTAAAGTTCTCCTTCATCAAAAACTAACTGGCTGACAGGGCCCTCATGACAAGGCTTGTGTCCAACTTGACAGAGCTCTACTTTAATGAGTCCACCTTCCCAAAGCAGCAAATTGCCCCACTCAGTTCCTGAGACAACCTTCAATGTAAATGAAGAGAAGTATGTAAGCACCTGCATGTCATGCAGAAGCACAGGCAAGAACACAGCTAACATTTGTGACTTCCTTCCATGAAAGCATTAAATCAATGGCAAAGTACAGACATTTCCAAGAGATGTAAAGGGTGAGGAGGTTCAACTTTTTAGCAATGTGACACAATTTGCATGCACTGAAATTGGTGACGACTGGGACCAACAGTCTCTTTGTATTTCTGTACACTAATGTTTTCATATTAGAAGACACTCAGCTCTAAGCCAACACATATTTTGTCTGTGAATTACAACACTAACTATTTTCCAATTATTACAAAGCAAGACAGGGATTTGGGGCAAACTGATGGCAACATTTTCTTCTCAGAGCAGTGCATCATGGGCCTGATTAAAAACATTTTTAAGCAAATAGTAATCCTCTAACTTACAAAGTAGACTTTATATCAAAGCCTAAAAGGGTACATAGTATTTTTCTTCTGGTCACTTTTTCTCACTTACCTTCCCATCGGGCAGCTCCACAAAACCTATAATGTCAGACACTGCTGTTTTTCCAAACCGGCCCAAAGCTCCTTGTAACTTGAGACCAGTTAATGTGAGAGCCATCTTCCAGAACCTGAGTACAGAAAAACACACCGCTCGCTGATACAAGATTTCCTAAACACTGGTCAATCTCTCTTAGGCATTGCAATACTCTCACCAGGCATGCCTTGCTCATGTATTACTCCTTTTGGAAGGAGAACTTGGGGTTGTTTCTTTTGAAAATTATATAAAGCTTTACATCTACACAAACATTTCCCTATACTACTCCTCTGAAAAAGCTAGGAAAAGGATTTGTAATAGGCAGAATGAAGATTAAATTACTATTTAAAATTAAAAAGTGTAAAATCCATAGCTACATCTTTCTAGCTACAACCAATACACATAGTTAGGGATATCTATTTTATCCTTGCTGTGGAGTGTATGATGCTCAGTTTTGTAAATACAAGGGACTGAGGACTTCATTGAATGTCATCCAAATCCTCTTGTGGAATTAAACTGTATTATAAAATCTCACTGAGCCAAAGGTTTAATCCTAAATATTAGTGTCTCCTGTGTGTGCAGGAGACATTACTTTTAAGGTAACTGTTGGAAATTGTAATTTGAGTCCACATTTGAGTGAAAGGTCACATTTATCATGTAATAAAAGCTATGTCAGAGTTTATTTGTAGTATTTCAGCTCAAAAGAAAGTTTATAAGAGATTTTGTTTTGTCAGATTTCCATAAATAATGCATTCTAAACTACACTTGTTCTGTGTCTAAATAAATCATTCGTTATTTCAGACCCATCTTGCAACCAAACTATAAAGCAAATCTCAGCTCTTGATCTGATTTCCCCATTAAAATTCAAAGAAACTTTAGAAGCATTATAATTTTTAAGATATCATTTTTATTACAACAAAATCCCACTCATAGCATAAGACTCTGCTGTGTTAACATTTAAGTACTGGATAAATACAAAACACAAAATGAATGTTTAAAGTCATTGGGTGTTTGAGCCTTTTTTATAAAAGGACCCATTAACTTAGCAGGGAAGGGAATGTATGGAAACATCTTTTGTAGGCTTTTGGTGCGATCAGAGGGTTCCTGATCCATGACTTGGCAACCAGCTCCAATGGCTGTCCAAGGAGTAGATGAGCTCAAGAAATCAAAGACAGAAAGCCCAGAAGGTAAATATCCTATGTTACCAGCTAGAAGACATGTATATAAAGGTATTTTTCATTTCTTCTTCCCAGTGCTTGTTGAAATTACAAGAATGGAGCCAGAGGTACTGACATTAACACATCCTATTTGGATCATCCTATTTGGATAGCAAAGATATTGAAAGATTTGTTTGACTGGCTGAAGGATTTGAAAATCCTCATTTTTATAATTGTAAGGGCCAGGTAAAATAGCATTCCTCATTAGTACACATTTGCTAACAATACATTCCTGTTAGTCATCTCCTATGTATTATGACTGCAGAGGTGTTATGTATTAATCCTAATCAGCAAACCTACCTGATGTGTCCTGATCCACCTGTAGTTAGATGTTCTTCATTCTCAGCAGAAAACATGACCTTGTAAACATCCTGTGCAAAAGCTTTTGACCTCAACAGAGTCTCCTCTTGTTTCCAGTCCCAGATGGTCAACATGTAGTCAGGGCTGCTCCCAACACTGGCCAGAAAAGTGCCAGTACGGTTGAAATCACCATAAACATAGGCCATCTCTGTTCCACCTAAAGAAATGTACAAGCCCCAATACACATGCACAGGAAAGAGGTAGAAATAACACAAAAATCTGCTCAGAAGTAGCTCAACATTCACTGAAATTATTTTTTATTCAATAGGTAATGGCTTTAGGTTGGCTATCTCTATCAAATAGAAATTTCTTCCCATGCAATAATGAAAAAACTTGAAAACAATTTTTCTATTTTTGATGTGAAGGACCAGAAGGTTCTATTTCCTTCTAAACTAAAAATGATCCACTACTCCATCTGCTGGGATCTTTAAACACTAGTCCATCTGTATAAAATAGAACATTTTACACTACCTTTCAGTATTCTGTAGGGCCTCACTGAAGGATATGTGTAGATGACAATGTTTGGCTTCTTTCCTTTTTCTCCTACTGCAAAGTACTCCTTACTAGGGTGTGCCTTGAAAAAGCAGAAGTCTTGTTGCATGCTGTAATAACACCTTTGTCTTTATTCTGATAGTTATTGAATTATTGTATTCATCAGTCAAAACATACTGCCATAAATTCTAGATTGCATTTTTCCTTGTTTACTCTGAACAACTGTCAACCTATTGCTTAATATCAGAATGAAGCCACTATGCACACAAAACTGTATATACCACATATATAGTGGAATTGCCACAAATGGTGAAACAATCTGCTTTGTGATGCATCCTTTTACTATTCCTACCTCACTCAACCCACTAGCTAATCTTTCCATAGCAGCATTTGTGTCAGCAGCCATCTACTTCAGCAGACAGCTGCAGAAGAGCTATCCTGAATGTACACTGATTCCCCAGAAAAGGCTGCTTACGATGAAGCAAGACAGTCTGAGGCTGGTAGTCTGAAAGCCTCGCTCATGTGCAATAATACTGAGAGACAGCAGAGCTTACACATGGTAAGATGCTTCAAATTCAGAGGCAGAACTTGACACTTGAACCTCTTGATAAGTTTATTAGAGTGAAACGAGATACTTTTTATTTGTTTGGGAGTTTGATTTTCTAAATTTTAATTGCAAGTAAGATTCTATATTAGTATCAGTTGTGATTAGGACAGATGAAATGTTGAAAAAAATCAAAGAATTGCTATGAGCCAAAAGATTTAAATAAGAATGTAAAAATAATCCCAGCTGGATTTGACAGTCATTTTAGGTAGCTGAGCCTGGGACTAAGGTGTGCAGATACTCTTTCTCTGCCAATTATACTGACGGGATGAGAAGCCCATGCTGCATGATCCACACATTTCTTTAATCAGTACCATATACTTTCTTATGTATATGAATGTGCAACTGTAGAAGTCTCCCATATCTGGCAACCACAACCAAGCAAACATTTTTCTCCCTAGAAAGTGACTAAAGTTCTTAAACAAGAAACAAAAGCCATACTGTGATAAACCCAATGCCACCGCCACAGCTGCTCCGGATGTGTTTCTGATACTTAGTTTTCAGGTTCTGGAGGATCACCTGGTTGCCTGCTACATACCCTACAGTATGTCTATCCATTACCATCAGGTTTACAGGTCTGGTACAGTCATATCCAAAAGAATGTCTGGGAACAGTCCAATAAGGAAAAGATTAGACACTGGCTTTCTAGACAGTTTACTAAGTGGATAGAAATGCTCAAACTGAAACTCAAATGGGAATACTGAAACTAGTGACTAAGCCTGATGGCAGGAGATAATTTTCTTCAGCATACAGTGAAAGTAAAATATACCTTGATTATAACTGAAAGGAAGGCACAAGTAAAGGCCTTCTGAAGTTCATATACCATCTTTTCATCTCCACTGTGGGTACATCTCTTGCTTCTACTGGATCATTTGGAGCTGCAAGGAATTAATATGTTATCTATGCTCTCTTTTCAAATGAAACGTAAAAGATGTGCATCAGATTACCAGGAACTGTTCTACAGACAAAAGATCAAACCAAGCAAGTTTTCAAGCTCACTTCTCAATTGTTTACAGGCAGATGTAAAAAAGGGAAAGTCCAATCTTCAATAGCGACTGAACTGTGTCTGCAGAGAAAACCACCACCACATACAAAAGTCACGTATCATATCCCACCCTACCTGACCATATGCACCAAAGAGTTTATTGTAGCTCTTAACTGATGGGCACCACTTCCTTCATTCTATGAGTTTAGATCTCCCAAGCACCAGAATACAAATCTACCTGGTTCCTTCCTCACTTCTCCCTTATGAGGTACAGAGGAGCTCTTCTGCTCTCCCCTCAGCTTCTTGGGGAACCCCAGGGTGGGTACAGAGAAAGGGAGAGCTTTGCAGGGCATATTCTTATGCCAGTCTTCTGCCTGGTCCCATTAGCTTCTCCATGATCTAGTTCTACAGCAGTATTTATGATAGGAAGCACTATGCCCAGCAAGAAATCTTTATGAGGTCAAGACAACACTTAATATTAAATTCACCCAGAACCATAACTGGCCAGAATCTTTACCTGTGTCTCAATCAAAGGTATCCCACTAATGCCACATAGGCTACTCCAAATTTGACCAATACAGTTTTGAGAAGGTATATTAAATATCATTAGCTTTGAATTTGCACAAGCTCAACAGAAAGGATACTTAAAAATAAGAAGGTCAGTGGGTATCTCAGTGTCATCAGTGGCATATGGTCCTGAATATACATCTTCATATGTGTAGAAGAAAGTATCATCTAATTTCTTTTTTACCTCCTCAGGCCTTTTTTGTGGTTCTAAAGATACTTGAGTATTATCTTGTTCGTCCAAATTGTCTTCTGCACCTCAGAAGTGGGAACACAACAGAAATTTATATTCACCATATGTTTTGGGTTAGTTGCTGATGTTTGCACCTAACCATAAAAGGGAAGGAGTCATAATTCTTTGCCCCATAGCTCAAAACAAGGGTTCCATGTCTTAGTAACAACTACTTGTCCTGGAACAATCTGAGACAAATACTCCTTCAGGTTTTTAAAAACTTCACTGTAAATATTCAAAACTGAAGAATTTAAACAAAAAAATTGAGACTGTTTGAAAAATACTGGTTTTAAAACTTTAAAGCTTACTAAAGCAGTTCAGTTGAGGTTTGCTTGATATTTAGGTCTCTACTTTAAAAACCAAGCAAATTTTAAAGTGTCTGTTTTCAGCAGCTATTGAATGCACATTGTTGCACAAAACAATTATTAAAACCACATATAATGGACTACCAGAGACACCATTGTCCTCAAGAAAGCAAACTGCTAATGTGTGACCCAGTGTAGTTCCTCACTGGATTGCAATGCACAATACTGTCAACTTGACTTCCAACTAGTCGTAAGCACTTGCTAAAAGTAGTTGCCAGTTGGTTATCTCAGGTTAAATCTATTTTGTAAGCATTTCATGCTGTCCTGAATGTTTTCTCTCCTAGGTGGGCCATGAGAAACAAGCAAGGCAAAGAGCAAAGTTAAGCCAACTGAAAGGGAGCAGAAATACTCAATCACTGTAACTGACTACAGTCTGAGGTTGTTAGGCTGTTCCTAATAATAACAACTGTAAAAACAATGAAAGCTAGAACATATGGGAGGTTTTAAGTTATTAGCACCATCTCCTCAGTGAACACCTGCTCTCAGCAATGCTCTCAATGTCTGACTTGCTCCTGTTCTTCCTCCTGCTCCTCTGCAGTTGGTGATTCGCTTGAAACACTAGTTTTGTTTTCTTTTGCAAAGTATAAATTGTATCACTCTCTTAGGTATGAATTCCTTTGACTAATTTGCTCATACATGCCATATTAAATATATAGTTCTGTAGTAGTAAAAGAACCTCCTCTGTCCAACAACAGACTTCCTGCTGTTTAGCATTAAGTGTCAGGAGAAGTTTACTTCCAAAAACCAGTAATTTAAAACTTAGGGGAAGGAAAGAAACAAACACATCCTATAACAGAAAAAAAGATGCAAGAGGATGACCAAACAAACGCCAAAAGTAATGTAGCAATGCATCAAAAATCCTTCCAAAGTGGATTTGTTATTCATGCTACCTGGATCTAGTGTGTTAGATGACATGCAGGACACCTGAAATAGACACTGGACAGGCATTTCAAGATGAAAAATATGTTAAAAAGGAAAATACTGACCTCTGATTGAAAGAGTCTGGTGGAGTTAAATACCTGATTTCATTATTAGCTATAGAGACAGGTCTAAGCAGCAAAAATTTTCAGGGGAGGGACTTTGAGAGCTGAGGCACAGCAGGCACAGCAGGCACAGGGCTTAGTCCAGAACTTCACTATGACCAGAATAAAAATAAAATTTGGCAACACCAAGAGCAGGAACTGGAGCTGAAGCAAGAAAGGGGTGAGTGGTGGAAGAAGGCAGAAGTTACTGTAGGTTCAGTACTGAAATCACGATATAACAGGCAAATACTCACCAGTGGGATCTGCCTCTGCATCTTCTGCTGGTTCCTGTTCCATTGGAAAAGGTGGATGTTTTCTCTCCCTGGTGGTGGTAAAGACAAACGTTTAGTATTGTTAACTTTATTTGCCATTTAGACCAGTCTCATTTCCTCTCAAATGCTTTGAGATTCCCAAAGATGCTATTTGTCTTCTGCCTGTACACAAATATGTATAACCCAAAGATAGGTCTTACTTTGTAGAGTGAATTAATTGGCTCGGGTTTTAGGACTCCAGGCTCTGAATAAATTGCTACAGCAAGACTTTAATCTAAATACTGTGTAATGGTGGGAACTGACATTATTTAAATGTGTTGAGGTTATCTTCAATATAGTGGGATGAGATCTGCTTTTGAGACAACAAGGCTATTCCTTTACCTTTGTGGTGGACTTCACAAAAATATCCAGACATAGACATTCTGAGATCACCTAATATCTTGAATGGAAAAGCAAAAGAGATAACTCTTTAAGAAAAAAGTACTTTCTTCAAAACATTTTATGATAATGGAAAACAAATTTTAAGAGTTAACAAATTTTTTTTTTAAATTAAACATCTTAATAACACCCCTCCCTCATATGATTTTCATCTTTCAGATTATCTTTTTCAGGATGCTACAATTTTCACTAGTTACTGTTTTCCTCTGAAGTGAAAAAGGTCCAAATTTGTCATATAAAAACCAAACACAATGACCATTTTTACAAAAGTCTCAAAAAGAAGGAAAAGAGTATAAGCATTGCTCTTACTGTGAATTTTGTCTGCCTTTTGATTTCATATGTGTTCTCCATTTCCAAATGAAACACCTCAAAATGCACATTGGAGCAACTTTGCATCAATATTACAGCATGAAAAAAACTATCCAAAATGAGAAAATTCAGAAGTTGTGTATAAAGAAACATGAATACTCAGAAATATGGGCAGGATGCAAGCAAATCCCTCTTACTTTATAATCCTGACTTTGATACCACTAAGAAGTCCCTAAAAACGTATTTCCTGTTTCCAGCTCCGGGTCAGAATCCATTTGGAAAAAATATTTTGAGGAATTTCAGGCTTTTTCGATATTTCAGGAAAGGCAAAGTGTCCTAACAAAATGCCACCCACAAGAAGGACAAAGAGGACAAAGAAATATTTCAGATATGTCATTCTTGCTGTTATATAGCCAATCTTCATCCAAAAGTCCTGACTATCTGCCAGAATCTGACTTTACTGCATAATTTCACATAAGAATTATGAATGAGCTTTTATCCTTTAGGAGTGCTGAAAAAAAACTTGAAAATAGACAAGCAGAAAGTTTTACATTTAGAAAACAAATTAAAAGAAAACAATTGCAATATATCTCAATAGATTTAAATGAAATTCATGAGTTCTTAATGGGGTAACACAACTGATATCAATGAAGTTGAAGAAATAGTTATAGACTATTTGCATAAATAGATAGTGGAGGGTTCAGAGACCTGAATTCTAATTCCGAACCCAGTAATGATGTGCACATTTTGTATCAGCCATTTCACCGCTGGCTGTCTCAGTTATCTCCTGTGAAAAATTAGATAATAATACTTACCCATCTTAGCGAAGTGTTTTGATATCCACAGAGAAAAGAGCTATAAAATTTCAAATTATTTTAACTAATTAGCAATCATTTATCTTCTAAAAATTAAGACTATCATAGTTTTCATTATAAATTAATTCCTATCTGGAAAATGCTTTAGGCTGAAAGAGGATATGAACATTTGCACTTGTGTTGATATCTGGGTCCTAGTTAAATAAAGATACTGCAAAGTCTTCTGTGCAATTTTTGTGATGGCATTCAAGTACTGTGCCAAAGCAAATTCTGAATTTAAGGACTCAGAAGAGGCTCAAGGGGATAACGTGTCTACTTTGGCTGCAGATTCTGGGTTTCATTAATTGGCTGATCCTGAAAACTCTTGTGCAGGCTCACCATGACAAAGGCATGCATCTCCCTAAATGCTGATTTTATTTTCCTGGGAGGAGTTGGCAAGGCTTTTTTTTGCAGCAGATTTCCTTAATCAGAAAGATTTAAGCCTTTTGATACTGAAAACTGAGACAGTGATAAGTAGAATTGGTGTGACAAATCTAGTGAGAAAAAAAGTCAGCAATCATAATTTTTCTGCTAATGACTGACCAGGGCAGTAAATTTTCCTCCAAGTCCTAGTAAACCAAGACACTAACTTGAACTGATCCACATCAATTTCATCATTTCCAAGAACTCAGGAACTCATTCCAAGTCAGGACTGAATTAAAATTATCCTTGTTTCAGAGGACAGTGCTACAAGCTGGGAATTTCAGCGAAGTTCCACTTTCTTTCAAATTGCCTTTTTCTTAGCCATGTTCTCAAAAGCCATAGAATAGAGAAAATGTGTTCATTCAGGTGTGCAACTTCAGTTATTTCAAAACTAAAATGTTTGTCGATTTTGGTGCCACACAGAATCTTTATATATGGAAGCCTCTCAAAAATTCTCAGTAAATTTGGATATTAAGTGATTTCTCACCTCAGATATACTGTCTCATTTATTCAAAATACAGCATAATTAAATCAAATGAGTGTTTATTTGCTAAACAAATTCAGCAAGATGACACCACTTTCTTTCTAGTTTGTCATCCTACACTTTTCTTCTTTCCAGAAAAAAAGATGTTTAAATGTGTAAGCCTCATAAATGCAGTTCTTGCCTTCATAAACACTGTGACTGACACTTCAACTGCATTAAATACAGGAAATTAAATAATGATCAAAATGCAGTCTACAGTTTTACTTCAGAGAACAGAACATATCTAACAGTTATTATAAGCTGTCTCTGCCCCACCATTAACTGTTTAAGTGTGCTTAAATGACATCACCTATCAGCTTTTACATCCACAGAAGAGTGATCATCAGTTCGGACCAAGAATTCAGTTTACGTAGAAATAGAGAACTATTACTGCAGAATAAAACTGCAGTGCTATTAGTACTAGCAATAAGCAAGAGATCAAAAAATTATAAAATTATGTCTACATTGTGCTACTTCTGTAGGATTTTATTTTTCTGATTAACTCCAAAATGTGTTAATGTTTTTTTGTAGAAAAGCTTTACCCACTGAGGGGCAAAAAAAAAACCCCAAAAAACAAAAAAACCCACCACTTGTTCTTTCTTTCAGGAGAAATTGTATTATTCCTTTAGTTGCTTTCATTCCACATGAAGGAACTCAGTTTGTCCCGGGAACTCCAACCCTGACTCCTCTTAGCACTGCACTGTGAGCCTTCCAGGCTGCACTCTCTGCACTTTCTGACCCAGGGCTAGCACTGGTCTAAAACACAGCTGCAGCATTTGGGTTTCATGAGGATTATCTGCCATAAGGAACTCCATACTGATCGTCTCTTCCCGGGTGAGGCATCTTCAAGTCTAGCTCTGCTTTGGATGTGTCAGGTTTCTTCCCATCTGCCAAGTCCTGTTTCTTTAACTCACTTTCAAACATGGTCTCCTCAACACTTTTTTCTGAATCTTTAATTTCTTTTTGAAAAACAGCAGACTATCTAACATCTTTCTCAGTACTCCTTTTTGCCTTGAGACCACATCAGAGTACATCAGCAATTTACTGGGCTGCTGATGAGTGCAAAATGGGCAAACAGGAGAGTCTTGCAAAACTTATTTTCATTTTAAAAAAATCAGTCTTATAGTGTTTATATACAAAAATAAAAATATCCAAGTGTAAATCAGGCATAAAAACCGATGCTGTCTGTATATCACTATCCATCAACACTAGAAAATTAGTAATAAAAGTCAGTTTAGGCAATCAACCCAAGATCCCATGGAAAAAATAAAAAGTACTAGAGAATATGGCTTCTCTTACAACATCTTGAAGATTTGAGAGCAAGGAGAAAAACAAAAAGCATCAATTCTCACAGCAGATAAGTATATAAATTATTTAATAGTCAGAGACTGAGACAGCAAGGATAAAGCTACAAAGCTATAAAGGATCTAGACACATTGTCATAACCCTATTGTCTCCCTTCTCCCTCATCAGAGAGCAAAAAGAGATGAACTGGAGCCCTGCTATTGTTTTCCTCACTATTACTATGTTGCACACATGCAAAGTATTTTCCCTTTTCATTAGCAGAAATAAATCTAACTCTAATTTATAATCTTACACCTAAAGTAGCCCTGGGTATGAGCCACATATTCTAGCTCTGCCACATGCAAGCAAAAGTTTCAAGTCTATTGAGCCTGCCCTGTGAATAAAAGTTACAAGGTTTCTACTAAGCAGAAATAAGAGCAGGTGACATCACCAGTTACTTATTAACTTACAGTGTAAACAAAAATCATAAAAATGAGTACGAGAGGAGTACCACAAATGCAACAGACAATAAAATTAACTGCCTCACACATGGTGAAGAAAACCCAAGTCCCACATTCCAGATTAAGTAGGGGACTGTCTATCCCTGCTGAACGACACTGATTCCTGTTTAACGGGGATAGCAGAGGGCAGGCAAGGGACACCTGGCGGTCCGCAGGGCGGGCAGGGGAGGGAGCCTCGGCGGGCCTGGGGACGGTGCGGGCACAGCGAGGCCCCGGGGGGCGCCGCCGCCGCGGGGCCGTGAGGAGCGGGGCTACCGGGAACAACCCACGGCACCCGCGGGCCCTCCGCGGGCGGCTGTGCCCGGACCGGCCGCGACCTACCCACAGCCCCCGCACCTGAGCCCGGAGCGGCCGCGGCCTCCCCACAGCCCCGGTACCTGGGCCCGCTCCGCCGCCGCGCTCCCGTCTCCAGGCAACTGCGGCAGCGGCGCGGCGCCCCGGGAGCGCAGCCAGCGGGCGGGTCGGCGGCGCCACCGGGCCAATTGCAGGGGCTGGTGGTTCGCTTCGGGTTGTTCGGGTGTTTTCTTTAAAGAAACCTCTGCTTTGGCCACGGTTGCGGTCCTTTCAGAACTCAGCGGGAAAATTAAATTAGCGACAGGTCTAGAGGAGATAGTCTTGAGCTGTGCCAGAGGAGGTTTAGGTTGAACATTAGGAAGAATTTCTTCACGGAAGGGATGATTAGATATTGGCCCAGGGAGGTGATGGGATCACTGTCCCCCGAGGTGTTTAAGGAAAGACTGGACGAAGCACTCAGTGCCCTAGTCTAGTTGACATGGCGGTGTTCGGTCACAGACTGGACAGGATGATCTCGGAGGTCTTTTCCAACCGAACCGATTCTGTGATTCCGTGAATTCCCCAGATGTTCTTCCCGCCCGCAGTCTTTAGCATGCGCTCTCGTGCGCCCCTCGCTTGGGGCGCGCTGCCCTGGGCGACGCAGCTCGGCTAACTTCCCATACACCTGTGTGTGTTCAGGATATATATATATATATATATATAAAACACTTTGATACAATAAATGCCTGTTTTGGAATATATATTTTTCATTTGACATACATAGATAGATAGATAGATAGATAGATAGATAGAAAGGAGTTCTAGAACTGCCGGCTGGTATTTTGTCTGGCGTTCCGGCGGAGGGTGCAGGTACAGAGGGAGGGGACTTCAGCCGGCGGCAGCGGCCGGCCCAGGGACAGGTGCCACGGAAGGGGAGGGACAGTGGGCGCGACGTCCCCGGGCGGAGGAGGAGGAGGAGGAGGAGGAGAGCGCGCCTCTCTACAGCGCGGGCGCTGCCGGTGGGCGCTGCTGCTGGCCTGGCTGCCGGCCGGTGAGTGCGGCCCGGGGCTCACGGCCCCCTCCGGAACTGCGGCCCGCCCTGCCCCGGGACACCCCGCGGCGCCGGGGCCGGGACTCGGGAGGCGCCGTCGCGTTTCTCCCGGGGTTAAGGTGGCGTGGGGTCGGGAGAGCGGCGGCGGCCCCGCGGTGAGGGGAAGGGGCGGCCCGGTCGGGCCGGACGCCGTTCCCCCGTGGTGCCCTCTCACGCCCGCGGGGCTCTCCCGAGCTCGGCGCGAAGCCGTGCGGAGACAAGTTTCACTCCCCAAAGGTGCGGCTGACCTCTCTCCTAGGAGGAAGTGGCCTCCTGCTTCCTGGCAGCCTCCAGTATCGGTCGCATGCGGCCAGCTCGGCTGGGACCTGGGCGCTGGGCATGGACATGGAGGGATCCCCTTTGGCCTCTCGTAAACGCCCACCGGGGTTTTGCTTGTGGCTCAGAAGCCTCAACCTCTTGGGGATTTCTGGGGTAGCTGCAGTGTTACTGCACCTGCTGGGCCACCTGCTTGTGTGGGGAGCAGGAGCTCACCTCCCTGCCCACGGGCAGCCCTCAGGCAGCAGTGTTCACTCTGCCAGGCTTTGTGGGTCGACTGAGTCTAACCTCCTCTTGGAAATAAAGCGTCCATTCTGCTTCTTGGATGCCTGGGTCTTGGCTGATCATACATCTTTAAAGTTCGGTTTTTCACGGAGAACCACTGAAGGAAGCAAAAAAGTATGGAGGATATGCTTGTTTATTGTCTTGCTTGACAGCTGTGTTCCTGGGAGATGCTCTAGCCAAAACTTGGCTACACTGGCTCCAGAGCTTCGTGTCTTCATTGCAAAGCCATAGATGTAGCCAAAACTTACTAGATTGGTGGTGTCCATAGTTGTTCTTTTCAACCAGGGTAAGAAAGATAGTGTCCTGCAGTGGAGTAATGCAGTCCACATTTAGGACCCAGCCTTAATATCACAACTCTTTAGTTTTCTTGGAGGAGGTTAATGGGAAACACTGAACATGCAGCAACACCTGACTGTTTGCTGGGGAGGAACAGTAGTTTTTCAACCTCTTTAGAAAATAAGGAACTTACCCTTCAACTCTGGCTGTTTTGCCAGAGGTAATGAGAAAGCATCCTTTCCATAAAAAGATGTGAGTTTTGTTAGTAAAAAGCTCACAGTGGTTTTGAATGTTTTATTCTTGCCAGAGAGATGCTGTTGTAGGAAATCCATGGAAAACATTCTGTTCCCATGAGCCTTGACAAGTTAGAATTCATATGGTTTCATTTAATTGACACTGAGATCACAGTTTTGCCAGTCTTGAGAGTTTGAATTGGTTTCTTGTGACTTTCTGCATTAAGACCCCAGAGTCAGCTATTTCACAGTGAAAGCTGAAACAAGATGTGTTGAACTACAGTGCTTTTGAATAAGAGCAACTGTAACTACCTGTCAGCAGTCTGAACCTTGCAGCACTACAGTATTGTAAAAACTTGTTTTATCTAGAGGTTAGTACACCTGCTGGTTTTTGTGTGTTTAAGTGTCTGTATGTATATCTTATTTTTCAGAAAAGCCTTAGATTTAGTGGTTTCCCAGGCTTTGCCTGTGTTTGTGTGGCATTCTTAGGGCAAATGAGTTTGCTCTGCTTGTGCTTTCAGTTGGCTGACAAGGAGTCCCATTTCAAACCAGAAACTGAGCAGGTGCTGCATTGACAATACCCTACTGCAGAATGATTTGTTGAGGCAGCATGCACCTCTGCAGCATCTTTTCCACAGTGTGGAAATTGTGTGAGCTCATATTTGCCTGGAATGTAGTGTGGAGGTGGCAGCCTAAAAGGACACTGAAAGATGCTTGACAAAAAGTGAAGTTTGCAGTTGTGGTCCAGATGTTACTACATAGCAGTAGCAACTTGTTCTCTTGCTTTCATCCTGAAAACATGGACTAGAGGGAAAATCTTTGAATATATGATAAAAATCAAGTCTTGATTCATGGAGACCTGTACAGTTGTTACCTTCAAGCATCCCACTTTCTTTCTTGCCTTTCCTGCTGTCGTGCTCTGCAATTAAGAAGCAACTAGTACAGCACTGCAATCCCTGCCTGGTTCTCTGGCATGTATTCCAAACAGGGCATCCCACACTTGCCCTGCACTGTTTGTATTCCCTTATCAAAGGCAACTGGTGATAACTTTGCTATTGTTAATGACAAGCACAACTTGCTGTGCTATCACAGTTTAAATAAGATAGAGATGTTTCTGGAGTATAGCTGAACTACAGCATAGTTTATGAGAAACTTTGTAAATCCTTCTTGAGTATGTTCAGCTGCTTAGATGGAAAGTGCTGTGGAGGTTGTTAGAATGAATACATAACAAATACATAATGATAGTTTAATTTTAAAGGAAAAAAGGGGGTAATTCATGTGCTGTTCTGAAGTGGTGATAAACAATTAACTGCAGTGCTACGCCTGAAAGTTGTATTGTCTTAATCCTGGTCACCACTAGATAACATTTGATGAGCGTCTGAGCAAGACCTTGATAAAATTCATTTGGTGTTTATACAAACATTTGGCGCTGCAGAACTTTTCTGATTAGGATTAAAAGCCAAGGAAGTCCCATCCCATGTGCTTCTGGGACAGGTTTCCCTATGTAGAAGGAGAACACAGAGTGATGTGCTGCACAACGGCTCCTCATGCTTTGGAGAAAATAATTCAGTCCATAAAGAGGACTGAATGAAGCTTTCTTCCGTCAGGGAAAGATGGAGCTCCTGTTCTAACCAGGGTTTGTAACCCTGGATGACTTCACCAGAGGGGCTGGGAGGTCTATAGGTGCAGGTCCTGGATGGGGCCAAAGAAGATGTACTTGGGTCATTGTTCTGGTACAGATGGTGTGATGGGAGGCCTGAGGAGTCTGTGGCCTGATGGCCTCCTATGTTCTTGTTTGCAGGTTGCCTCTCGCTCCTGGTGACAGTGCAAGATGTCGAGCGTTACACCACCTTATTTGCCACTGTCATCCTCAAGTGTGACTACAGCACCTCAGCACAGCTGCAAGACGTGGTGGTGACCTGGCGCTACAAATCCTTCTGCAAGGACCCCATCTTTGACTACTACTCAGCTTGTAAGTGTCAAGCTCATCTTCCAAGGAATCCCCCTTCAAGTGGGAAGAAAGGGGAAGGTAGACTCACTGGGGTAGTACAGGCTTTTGACCCCTTCCTATGCAAAAACCAGGTCGTGACATTTCTCTGCAGTCCCAGGAAATGCAGGTCATGTCTGTGATTTCCTTTGAAATGTCAAGGCCTTATGAGATGATAGAAATCGCAGCATAGAAAACCAAAGCAGCTCTTTTGTCCTCCTTGTCATTGACTCAGAATACAGGACAGTTCAGCTGTGGTTGACACAAGTCAATCTTGGAAGCCCTGTCTTATGCTTCAGCATGTTTGAAAGCAAGGGCCCTGCAACAAGTGGGCTTTTGGATTCCATGGGGGAACCTGTGATTGGAGGTGGATACCTGTGACCAGATGTTACCGATTTTAGGAAATAGAAGAAATGCATACATTTTGAAGGGCATGAAGACTTCTAAGTAATAGCATTTAGTAGTGGTGGGAGCACTTCATGTGCAGACATTCTGGTGCAGGCAACCTTAATTCATGGGCATTTAATATGGTACACAAACTGCATCCCAGGATACCTGCTTGGTCCAAAAAGGTGATGATCCCTCTGTGTTTAGTGTTGGTGTGACCTCAGCTGGAGTATTGTATGTGATTCAGGGTCCCAGGATTTGAGGATATTAAGGTACTTTAATGTGTCCAGAGGAGGGCAACAAAGCTGATAAAAAGCCTGGAAGACACATCCTGTGAGGAACAGCTAAGAACTTTGGGTTTGTCTAGTTCAGGAAAAAGGAGACTGAGGGGTGACCTCATTGCTCTCTACAGCTTCTTGAGAAGAGGAAGTGAAGAGGGAGCTGCTGCTCTCCTTTCCCTAGTATCTGCTGATAGGATGTATGGGAATGGCTTGATATTACATCAGTAGTATACTGCTTGACATTTTAGTCAATCCTGAAGTGATGAGACAGTTGGACTAGATAACCTTTGTACATCCCTGCCAACT